TATCTCGAAATTTCGACTTACTAACTCGAAATTTCGACTTATTAACATTACTAGAATGGCCACCAAGAGTTTAGTTATCTAAACTCTTATAAGAATAAGATATAGTAGGGAGTGCGGTTGCATGATGGAGATGGAGAAACGGGTGCCTGGACAAACTTAAACTTAGTAATGGCATTTACACGCCCGACCTAAAAAAACACAAGGCTTCCTTCAGGCGTTCTTCAGACGTTGTATTGTATGTTGTACAATTGAGATAGTAACTCGAAATTTCGAGATAATTAAGTCGAAATTTCGAGTTAGTAACTCGAGATTTCGAGTTAATAAAAAAGCATACACCTTACACTAATGCTCTTCCGTAGTATTAAACCGTCAAACTTGACATTTCCTTAACGGTGCGCAAGAAAAAAGAAAAAAAAAAGAGAAAAGAGAAATAAAAATAGGATAGAGAGAAAAAGGACACGGACACGTTTTTTGCTTGCTAGAAATTTAAAAGAAATGAAGTAACAGAAAAAAGTTGTACACAGTTACTTTTCAACCATCGATCTAGGCAATACCAATCCAGCTTCCGTGGCGGTGCCCAGGTCCAACACCCTGCTGGCATAGCTCAAGCCCTTCACTTGGCGGTACTTCGTTACATTAAACGGATTATTGAATATTATTACTTTTTTTTTTTCTTATATTGTAAACCCATTGAATTGTTTGAAATCTGAATCTTGTTTTCGTCAAACTAACATAGAAGCCGACGTTGTGATTACATTTCGTAGATTGACACTTCTTTGCAAAACTCTGAACAAAAGCTGTTAGAATTTGCCGATTTTAATTTAACAAATTTCCTTTTTTTAATTAGCCATTGATATCCAATCAGATTTGCCCTCTTTGTCCCTTCTAGTCTGTATGCGCCGGCAATTCATAAAGAGTTTACATGCATGTATATACAAGGCTTGAAAATAGTCGAAAAACGTAAATGTATATTTTGAACAAAGAGAGAGTAATATTAAAAGAAAATCTAGGTACGATGTCTGTGTCGCTACATCCCAATGTATCGGCGTTGCACCTCTATACTGGTAAACGTTCTGTATCGATTGACGATTTGTTTGCTACAATTTTCCAGGCGAGCAGAAAAAAAAAATGACAACGAATGAAAATACTTACAAAAGCAATGTTCAATACGAATACCACCGACTTTATATAACGTACTTATACTAATCGCCACCGAAGAATAAGGAATATTAAATGAGTGTAAAAAGACAGGTAAATTGGGTATCCTACTAGTGAAAAAACAACATTTAAACTTAGTTAAGACCTTTTTCTCACTAATTACTAATTGATGGAAAGAAATCATATACACCGTATGGTTTGTAACTACAGAAACCTAGAAGATGAATATCATTCCATTTGTATCTGTTCAGCTTAAACTTAAATTCGTAAATATTACATTTATTAAGTATTATGTCTATAGACCAAGGATTTTTAAATTGATAAAACATAAACATATGAACTATCTATGTAAATCAATATGAACATAGAACCATGTTGACTAGAGTAATTTATGACCGTTTTTGTTATAATTATGTTGTATTCTGAAACCGTCTGTAACATTATCATAATATTATCATATGTTCAAGCATATTTTTGTTACAGACACTTGGGGAGTGGAGCTCAAAACGCCTTTAAAATCCAAATAATTATTATAGATGTTGAACTATGAAAATTTCTCTAAACGGCTTATATTAAGTTTTTTGATATATATGATCAGTACATGTGCTGGGATTGACAAATATGCATTTTATTTGGATTTTAAAGGCGTTTTGAGCTCCACGCCCCAAGTGTCTGTGATCTTTGTCAAAGGAATTTATAAAGCAGCATTTTTTAAAATATTTTTCCTAGTCTACTCTTGGTTCATGCTTTTTGTATTTATATTGAAGAGAATATTTACTTTATGAAATTCCATAATCCATGTCTTTGCCATTTGTATATGTATACATGTCACTATGTTAATTGTATTATATTTATCAAGAATCATTATTAGTTCCGTTTATAAAAATATTTTTGTCATCGAGGTGGTTAGGAATGAAAGGATCAACTTCATATTATCTGTTATATTTAGTTTATTCAGGATTTAGTTTCATTATTGATGCGTTACAAAAGCGATACATCATCTTGAATGGTGTAACTTCAAAATAGAACTTTTGCTATTTGAAAATATATATCTTACTCAACATGCCTAATTAAAATTTTTACATGGTAAGACTCATAACAAATGGGTAATGTGCACATTTTATTAGATGGAAAGAAAAGAACCACGTTGCTGTAAAAGACAAACACTTTTCTGTGTATTTCACATTTGCTCTTCAACTAATAGTAAAAAGTTATATAATCGATACCAAACAAATATAAGGGTTTGTCGTCCTAAGTTCAGATACTTTTAATAAAAATATAATTGCACTGTGGCCAATATTGTTGTTTGTATGTTGCCAGTAGTCTTCAGAAAGATATGGTGTGTACAGATACCATTTGTAACAGAAGTTCCATGAAGACGTTGCATATTCATAGAGATCTCCTGTTTGGAAAGGACGGACAGCATATGGTCTTATTAAATAATAAAATATTATAAAATATCTTAGAATTATGTTTTCAAAAATAAACAATTCTTAGATACATTTGATGACATAACGAACTTTCTTCATCAGTGTGTTGAATGATAAAACAAGAAAGAAAAAAAACAATTCACGATTCTATTATATGAATTTTTTTAAAGTATTCAAAACTTCACAGATTATAAAATAATAACTAGAAAAGAAAGATTAATGATGCATTGTGGTTGTTCTATTCAATCATATGAAAATCATTGAATTCAAACGACAAGGACATAAAGATGAACTCTCAAGATTCAGCCATTATATGTTTGAGAAATAATGACGCTATAGATCTACTAGACACCATTCAGATATAAGTGAAATAACACTCATTAGAATTCTAAAACATGAGTTATATTTTGAAACACACTTTCCTTATCTTTCCGTCGTAACTTTTCAATATGAAAACATTTCAGTTTGTAGAGGGGTTATTTCTGAATTCTGTCATAGAAATACAATCTATCTGTAATACACATGATTTTCCAATTTAGACTTAACTGGAACTATTTCTTCCCGACAAGGGAGACTACGTAAATAGACAAAACAAAAAAAATCAACATTAATTTATCTACCGTATCTGGATGTTTAACATTTTAATATGACAATTTTGTGTTCCAAGTTGAAATGGCTATAAACAGCTATTATCGTTATGTGGCGGCAGTTTCAGCATTATTTATAGGAAAACTGATGTGATTGAAATCGACGTTTTCACATTTTATTTAGATAAAATAGTTTTCTTTGATTAAAACGCCCATTGATTACCAATCTACATAGATAACTGCACATTTCCGGTGATAAAAGCACGCACTTCAGTCGTAAATCAAGTTAGAATGTGTTATAAAATGCAACTTCAATTGCAATTATTTGCAACATCAAGTGATTGACTTATTTCAGTCAGTTACCGCATTTTACATTTTATCTGTTGCAAACTGCTCTCGGTAGATCTATATCTATGTAAGGTATAACGCGCATTTGATGCTATATTTGTGATCAAAAAGGTATATCATATAAGAAAAATGTGTATCCATGACATTAAGCCATACGTTTATAAAGACTTTTGATAGAACATGTCGTGCGACTTGGGATGAATGACCTATACAATTAATGCACTGCTACATAGAATCAATAACAGTCGTAAAGACATGATGTTTTTATTTACAAATCTGCGAATTTGCATTAAAATTGACTTTTGAATATTTACTGCTTTAACCAAATTCATTTGTAATATTATACATGTATACTAGTTAAGTGGTTGTTCAAGCGTGGGTCAATATATAATGCAATATAAAGTATATTTTCTAATTTAGCTCGTGATTCTTGTGTTTTTGGTATGATATGCTTCAAAACATATGATTTCAAATAATACCAGAATCATGTGGGTAGACTATCGATTAAGAATTTTATTCACATTGAAAATACCTTGCACGGGTAACTTCTTGTAAATTATGGCTAGTGAACGCTCAGTTAAAAGTGCTGAAATACGGGCTAATAAAAAAAGCTCGAGTAAAACTAGGAAAATATGCTTAAATGTTTAAAATGATATTTGTAATATTCAAGGTAACAATGAAGTATCTCATGTAACTGTTTCGAGGTTGATGCACACATTCAAAAAGAGCATGAGTGAATTGAAAATGCCTGCAATTCTGATAACGACAAAAACATTCATAAAGTCAAACTCATCATTGACAAAGATGCCAGACTTTCATTTACTCAGATAGCCTATATCGCTGGGATATCTCGTACGATTTTGAAGAATCGCTTGAAAGTTAGGCGAATTACTGCCAGATGGATACCTTATTTGCTAACATCTATAACAATAAGATTTCACCAAAACTGTCTGTCGACCATGCCTTAACACGCGATTGCCAAATGTCAAAAATGTTATTTAGGTTTTTTTCTATACTCATAGAAATGCTGTCCAAATTCCTTTTTCTAGAGGTCGTTCTATCACATCTAAGTATCATAGAGTTGTCGTGTTAAGAAAAATCGAACACACTTTAATGAGTTCGACTATATCCATGGTTTTCTCACTACTTGGTACCTGTGACTTTCTTCTTTCCTTGACAGAAAAACATCTTGCTGGTCATCGCTTCAAGAGTAGAGATGGACTTGGGTCATTTTCAGTGAAAAGTATACCTAAGGAGGACTATGTTGAAGCATTTTAAAAGTTTGATTAAACATCTGAAACTTTAAATTCTTAATAAATTATTCCGAAGGGTTGAAGCAGAAAATTGTAAAATGTTTGTTCAATTGTTAAATTAATTGACCATTGCATTACAATCATAATGACCCACTCTCGAACATAGTCTTGATTCAGTTCTATTATGTTGTTAATAGAATCGAAAGGACAGGAAAGTATTCAGCAATTGGTAATCTGTTAAAAGTGGTTTTAAGTGAAGTACTAAACACATGAAACAATCAGAAAATACGCAAACAATTTCAACATATTTCATATAGCCGTTTGCATGCCCTATTTGAAAGCGTCCTTTTTCGAACTATCTTCCTACAAAGATAAACCTGTTTTTATTGACTTTGTGCCATCGCTGGCAGGAATAGGTAATTAATGCTATATTAGTCAATGTCCGAGATTGATGACTTTATAGATATGCCATAGCATTGCTGTATTGGATAACTTTGTAAGGGGTATCGTGAAGGACCTATTCGCTGCAATTGAAGATATAAGGATAAATAAAATGATATTCCTGATAAGGGAAAACGATATTGTGTTCCATATCTTGCATGCAAACTATATTTTGTGATATATATCGAGTTACTCACAATCTCTTTGATAGTAAGCGATCTCAAAAGTTTGAACTGAATCGTGATACCAACGTTCCGGGTAATGTAAAACGGTAATGTTTGCCAAATAACACACTTGCGTAGCTCGTCCGTACTCCAATGAAACGCACGTACATTCCGTGCGTGAATTACAAAGGTTAAAACACTCTTGTAAAGTTACGCCATCTAAAGTCTCCAGATTTTTCTTGCTGATATAATGATCCATGATTTCCCAATAGTCGTTTCCATAGTTTGTACATTCTGAAATAATATATAAAACAACAGATGTGGTATGTATAGAAAATTATATCCCACATTTATAAGAGCTGTTATTTTGATGAGGTAATAATAATAATAATAATAATAATAATAATAACTTTATTTACCGAAGGTAACACATTAAGACATATACAGATTGCAACATCTTATTTACAATGCGGCCTTCTAAAATAAAAATAAAAAATAAAAACACACACACAAAAGAACACATATCAATCAAAGAAAATATAACATGTAAAAAGAAATGATTAAATGGTTATCACAATTTTAACATATATTAACACATATACTGAACATTCATACAATTCATTTTATTTATCATTAAACATAATACTTCCATCAGTGCATCATTTTAATCTGCAATTTAAAAAGTAAAATTAACTTACAAAATTAACACAGTCAAAAAACTTGAAACTAAGACAGACACCCATTATTAGAAAACATAATAATAAAAAAACACATGTATGAATATAAAGAGCGTATCCTGTATATATAAGACACTAAATTTGATTAAATAAGTATTTCTTGAAACATTTCTTAAATATTGGCAATTTTGTTTTTCTTCTTATAGTCAGTGGTATGGAATTCCAAATAACCATGGCATTAAATTGGAATGTGTCATTAAAATAATTTGTACCTGGTTTGTAAGACGAAATTAAATTTCCGTGAGATATCGATCTTAGATTATACTTTTGATTATTAGATATGGTAAGTAAGTCTCGGATATATTGAGGGGACATATTATTCAATGCTTTATATACTTGGACACTGCTGTGAAAAATACATCTTTTCTTGAAAGGCAATATTTTTAATCTTTTGTATAAATTTTCTGATTGTTTTCTCATTGGAAGGTCTAGAATAATTTTGCAAATTCGTGTTTGTGTTTTGTATATTTGGCATATATATTTTTTGTTTTCTTTTCCCCATATATTACAACAATAATCAAAAATAGGAAGAAGGTATGCATTATAAAAAAGCATGCGAGATTCCTTATTTAAAAAGTACTTTATACGCCTAAATAAATTAACTTTAGAGTTCAATTTTTTACACACATCATTTACCTGACAGTGCCAATTGAGTGTATTTTCAACATAAATACCAAGCAGTTTTTGTGATTCTACATTGTCAAGAGTTGAGTCGTTAATTTTCAAATTTAATGCTTTTGCAATCTTTAGCTTTTGTCTACTACATACCAGCATACTTTTAGATTTTTTAGGGTGTAACAGCATATTATTTATTTTACACCACTTAGTAATCATATTAAGGCTATATTGTAGTTTTTCTTCTATAACTGATATGTCATCTCCAGATTTATGCAACGTGGAATCATCAGCATATAAATCTATGTTAACATCCTCGCAAATATTTGGGAGATCATTTATATAAAGAAGAAACAGTAAAGGACCTAATATTGAGCCTTGTGGAACGCCAGAGGTAACATATTGTACGTCAGATTTTAAGTCTCCAATTTGAATTATTTGCATACGATTAGACAGATACGAATGAAACAGTTTTAATGATGTGACAGAAAAGTGATAAAGTTTGAGTTTATATAAAAGTATTTCATGGTCAACTAAATCAAACGCCTTTTGCAGGTCTAAAAATACTGTACCTATATATTTGCCACTATCAACATCTTTTAGCCAGGAGTCTATCAAATGAATTAGGGCCGTATTGCATGAATGATTCTTTCGAAATCCTGATTGTTTATTATGTAAAATATTTGTTTTTTTGGAAAAAATGCTGTAACTGATTAGCTATGTGACGTTCAAAAATCTTAGATATTGTAGGCAAGATAGAAATAGGTCGATAGTTGCTCGGATCATCTTTCAGTCCAGATTTGAAAATTGGAATAACTCGGGCATTTTTTTAATTCATCGGGAAATATTCCTTGTCTTATACTGTTATTAATTATGCTAGCAATCATGGGGGTCACAAAGTCACCACACGATTTTATTATTTTTGGACCTAGTTCATCTAGTCCAGTGGCTTTATTTGCATCTAGTTTATCAATAATGTTTTTAACTTCAAATGCAGAAATGCTTTCAATTTTGAATTTTTTCCATTTCAATTTATTATCTAACTTATCCTTCAATATTTTAAATTCGTCGTTAGATAACTGTACTTTTTCGACAATATTAGAAATGTTTACAAAATGTTTGTTCAATTCATTTATAATATTAGCATGATCAGTAAATGTAGTATCGCCAAAAGTGAGCCGTTCGGGAATAAGTACATTTTCCTTTTTACCTAAATTAGTTAAATCATTAATATTTTGCCAAATGTATTTTGGATTTTTTCTTTCATTTATTGAGAGGTAACCATAAAATGTCACCACGTAAAACAATATGTTACTCAAATATCCACCGGTTTAGATAAAGATCGTGACAAATGTTTTCGTAAACGGTTTGGTTGAAAACAAAATATCTCGGATCAAAACATGTTTTTCTCTAATGTGAATTTGATTCTCAGATGACCGGAAATAATAAGAATTGGACTATGCTTATAATTCTGCGCATTAACTATCTCTTATCAATGTTCAAAACTGAAATGTTGAATCGCTTACATAATTAAAGCAAGAAGATTGCCATCAATTGTCTTGATTTGTACATAAACCAAACTTTCCCTATAGAAATGATACAAAAAATGGGAACAAAAATCAAGAAGGCAAGGCGACGATCTAAGAACGCAGTTCCTGACACAAGCCAAGCCCAATAGTAAGGACTATGCACTAACAGATAACATAATCATTAAAAGTATGAAATCTTAAAATATCGAAGAAAATAGTAAAATCTATATAATATCACAAATATAATCATAGAAAAGGAGCAAGCAAATGGGTAACGTTGAAGACAGAATATATTTCACATAGTAGTAGTTGTAGCAGTATGTACCCAAAACAACCACGGAATGATAATAGGACTTCTTTTGAAACTGATAAAAGTTATTTAGAATGAACAGTTGTTATAAGAAATAAAAGCACTGCATGCCTTAGACCAAAGGTGGCCTGTCAAAACACAGCAATTATCAGTTACCAGATTAATATCCGGTAATACTGCAGCGATTTGAAATAGCTGCGTAATCAAAGTTTATAGTTATATTCTCTCATATACAGATCTTAGCATGGCAGAATGCTTAACGGATACTAAAATTAATTGGTCCCATTCATTGGTTGTTTTAAGTTGAGAAATTTAATCATACTCCATTACGCATACTTTTATATAAAAAACGCAGCATTCGTAATAACAAATATACGAACGAGGCCGATGGTCACAGCGTGTACTCCTCAACGCTTGATTAAAATTTTCTGTTAAAGAGAATTATTTACGTTATGTCAATACCAAGCATTAAATGCTCGTGTATCCACTGGGTATAGAAACTGCGTACGTTAATTGATGTTTACACTTTAATATCAGGAGCATCGTGCTTGATTTCAGTAAACAAATTTCCATTTAGGCTCTTAATATTACACTTTTAACAATCTTCTTTTATGAAGGAGAGAAGAAATAGGAGAATGTTAATTTACCTTTACATTCGTGTGTTTTGGGGGAGAAACTATATCCAGGTATACACTGGCATATCCCTGTCCGACATTCCGAATTAACAGTCACACACTCGTTACTATCCACGCAAGAGTCTCCGATGTAATTTTCTCCTGCAAAAAAAATTACTAACAAAAGATGTAAAATTCATCTTGTTTGTTTTGACTGTTTTTATGAATAGCAAATCAGTCATAAAAGTATACTAGTTTTCTCTTAAAATTTTAACCAGGAACATGACATGCTGATAGTTACACTTATCCTTTAAATATTTCTGTTTCATTGTCAGCAAAATTGAAATTGAGACTATTCTAACATAAAAGGACAAACAAAAGAAAGATACCACGCAGATCAAAGAAATAATTGTTTTCTGCTAAATGTTTATGGCCAGTTAGTTATCTTTGAGAAAAAATGTAGATATGGCCAAGTTTCCAAACATTATTTAAAGAATTTTGGATAGACTAGCTCCTTAAAGGTATTAAATACCTTTATAACTACAATCAGTATAACCAAAGACTTACTTTAACTTTACTTCTTGCAAGAGCTAACAATAAGCAGTTCTACCATATAACACTTAATATTTTGTCTCAAATAAGTTAAAATACATGTATAAAAATAGCCGATCAATCAAATTTAAACATTTCTTGATTTCTTGAATTATATTATGAATTAATTCAAGAAATACAACGATTCTAAAAATATTCAACGATTCAAAGATATACTATGCCTTGAGTGTAGTGTGTAGAGTTTAAAACGTAACATTTTACTCTATGTGCATTCAAAAGATGTTTATTTTACATTACAGAAGAGACTGTATAGTAATTATCATTTTCATTAAATATCAAATTTGAGCATAATATATCTTTAAGACTACGAAATGCTTAGTAACTACTAGAAAATGGACTAAACCTTTTGCTTTAACGTTATAATCGGAGAGGTCACCACAAAGATTAAGAAAAAAATACAGCATTGTGACACCTGATAATCTTGTATGATATTTCACAACCATCAGTCACCCGTCATTAGATTCGAGTGAATCTGCCATGAAACAAACACAGATATTAACTGCCTCTATGGACATGATTAACGATTCCATTAACCTGAAACAGCGGACAGATGTACCACATTGTCATATATATAAGATAACAACTTAAATTTAAAATAATCGTCCTAAAATAACGCCGTACCTTGAGGAGGATGGTTTCTTTTTATTCACTACATCTTAATGAACTGGTAAATGCTGCGCAGAGGGGTAGCAATTAATAACAATAAAAAGGTTGTATTATTTCGAGTTCTGCTATTTCTTATTTCATTTAAGTAAGAAAATAAAACAATAAGAAAACTCTAAGAACTGAGGTGAAGGAAATGTCTTTGTTTTCAGAACAGAAAAGAGAAGCAAATATGCTTTGCTAAGTTTTAAGTATACAGAAGGTATTTCAAAGAAGAAAAATTAAATGGGATTGCTATGCGTGCAAAGTTGTATTCATACTTGCCTACTAACTCGTTGGAATACAATAATACACAACCAAAAGAAAACAACAACAACAACAAAAAGTACGCACAAAACGACAAAATTTGATTGAGTTTGATTGAGCCTGTTCACGGACGGTACTGGAAAGTACACATTACCGTATAGCACCAGTTCAAGCATAATTCAACATTTAAATATTGAAATGGTTATATTTTGAATTTTGAAACATCCGCAGATTTGTTTATACGGTGGATTTCATGGGACCTTCAATGTGACACGTTTGTGCCATTCCTAATCCATGAAAAGCGGCATATGGTCCCCAAGTAAAAGAATGCGTGTACGTGTCCTAAACTAGAAAACAATGGGCGGAACTAAAGAAAATGGCATTTTGAAGGGGGATCACCCTGCATATCACAGATAAAACGTCAAAAGACTCAACTCATATGGTACATCCTATCACAATACCACATTCTTGCAATAATTCTTAAATATAGTATTATAATATTGTTTTTGCCGGATATAGTTACAGTTTTGGATGTGCCCTTTACTTTGTTTATTTTATTTGCTCATCATTTTCATCTCTTTTTTATACAAACGGCCATAGCTTTCATACAAGTATGAGCATTTCTAAAAATGCTAAGAATCGCCGTTTAACGGGGTATCCTAAATACACAATGTACTTCTTATTTTTTTTTTCTCTCAAATAGACTCTTCCATGAATAATATAGCAACTTATTCTTCTTTTACCCCGCAGGCCTTTAGTAACACACTTGTTTCGAGCTTGGTACATGGAGATAGTATTTCAATTCTATATATAAGTAACACACACACAAAAATAGGCTGTGGTAGATATGGCGTGCCATATAGGCGCCCATCTTTAAGGTCTTTTGTCGTCCTTTTGTTATCATGTGGTATTAAATTCTCCATGATTCTCTATGATTTGGTGTACGGGTAGAAATGGTCAAATTTTGTTAAATGTATATGCCGCCGTCCAATCGCAGCTACAAAAATAGACAACTCGGTTATACCATGTATAGGATTTTACAAGAGTTGTCATTTATAAAGACTTATACCAAAGGAGCTCCACGATAGCGTATAATTAGATTAATGTTTAGTAAGCATTACATCATCTGAGACAAATGTAATGTAAGCATCTATGAAATGGCAACGACTTACAAATTATTTGTAAATTGTATATCATACTACAAATGTATTAAAAGAAAGAAATCGTCAATTTTGGGAAGGGATTGGTACTTTCTAAGCCTGTGTTTTATCCTGTGATGCAAAAATATGAAAACAAGGCAAGCATTGTGCAATAATAACGCCGTATCTGTGAAATATATGGCCTTTACGAGCAACACGGAAAACATCCCAGGATACTAATATATTTCATAATAAATCGAAATTTTAAGAAATGAATTATTGCATATGACTGCTAAGACATATTGCGGCATGGCCGAGTGGTTAACACCTCGGACTTGTAATACAATGATCTTCAACCCCGTCAGGTGCAAGTCGTTGTTTCCTTGAGCAAGAAACTTTACACTAATTGCTCAGTACTGGTTGGTTCCAGGAACGGTTTGTGTGTCTACAAGCTTATAGCTTCCTACAGAATCGAACGAAAATAAATAATGTATAAAACAAGACATATTATGCTTAAACCAGCTTTATAAATATTAGAAGGACCATTGTTCATCGTGAGAATTACAACTTGGATATCGTATTAAAGGCGTCGTTCAAGGCGCGTTATTCCTCAGGGAAACAGATAAAAACAATTCTTTAGACAGGATCAACTTGAGTTTAATGGCGTTTACTTTAAAATTCACCTGAATTTCAAATTCGTTAAAAATATTTTGACAGGTTATAATGCAAACAATCTCGTATACACGACAAATCTTTTTAACAATCCATAATACATCTCAATTCCTTTATTTGATAAATGTACAGCAGCCGTGTAAGTAAATAAATAAATAAATAAATAAATAAATAAAATGAAATAAAAAAAAATAAAATAAATGAATGAATGAATGAATGAATAAATTAACTTTTAATTAATAAGTTTATAATTCTAAATAAATAAATAATTTTTTGACTTGGTCATGTAAATAATGGCTAGTAAACGCTCAGTTAAAAGTGCTGAAATACGAGCTAATAAAAAAGCTCGGGCAAAAATGGGAAAATATTATTAAAATGTTTATAAAGATATTTGTAATATTCATGGCAACAATCAAGTATCTTATGAAAGAGTTGTTTCGAGGTTGATGCACAAATTCAAAAAGGCATGAGTTAATTGAAAATTCCTGCAATTCTGATAACGACAAAATATTCAAGTCAAACTCATCATTGACAAAGATGCCAGACTTTCATTTACTTAGATAGCCTACATCGCAGGGATATCTCGTACGATTAAGAAGAATCGCTTGGAAGTTAGGCGAATTTCTGCCAGACGGATACCTTATTTGCTAACATCTATAACAATAAGATTTCGCAAAAACTGTCCGTCGACCATGCATTAACAAGCTATTGTCAAATGTCAAAATAGTTATTTAGTTTTTTCCTATACTCGTAGAAATGATATCCAAATTCCTGTTTCTAGATGCCGTTCTATCACATCTAAGCATCATAGAGGTGTCGTGTTAAGAAAAATCGAACACACTTTGATGAGTTCGACTATATCCATCGTTTTCTCACTACTTAGTACCTGTGACTTTCTTATTTCCTTGACTGAAAAAACATCTTGCTGGTCATCGCTGGAAGAGTAGAGATGGACTTGGGTCATTTTAAGTGATTGAAAGGTATACCTAAGAAGGACTATGTTGAAGCATTTTAAAATTTGGTTAAACGCCTGAAACATTATATTTCTTTAGAAAATCATTCCGAAGGGTTAAAGCAGAAAATTGTAAAATGTTTGTTCAATTGTTAAATTAATTGACCACTGCATAACAATCATAATGACCCACTCTCGAACTCAGTCTTGATTCAGTTCTATTATGTTGTTAATAGAATCGAAATTTTGTAAAGGACAGGAAAGTATTATCAGTTTAAGCAATTGGTTATCTGTTAAAAGTGGTTTTAATTGAAGTACTTAACACATGAAACAGTCAGAAAATACGCAACAAATTTCAACATATTTCATATAGCCGTTTGCATGCCTCATTTGAAAGCGTCCTTTTTCGAACTACAAAGATAAACCTGTTTTTATTGACTTTGTGCCATCGCTGGCAGGAATAGGTAATTAAGGCCTTATTAGTCAATGTCCGAGATTGATGACTGTATAGATATGCCATAGCATTGCTGTATTGGATAACTTTGTAAGGGGTTTCGTGAAGGACCTATTCCCTGCAATTGAAGATATAAGGATAAATAACATGACATTCTTGATAAGGGGAAAACGATATTGTGTTCCATATCTTGCATGAAAACTATATTTTGTGATATATATCGAGTTACTCGCAATCTCTTTGATAGTAAGCGATCACAAAAGTTTGAACTGAATCGTGATACCAACGTTCCGGGTATTGTAAAACTGTAATGTTTGCCAAATAACACACTTGTGTAGCTCGTCCGTACTCCAATGAAACACACGTGTAGTCCGTGCGTGAATAACAAAGGTTAAAACACTCTTGTAAAGTTACGCCTTAAGGTCTCCATATTTTTCTTGCTGATATAATGATCCATGATTTCCCAATAATTGTTTCTGAAATAATATATAAAACGACAGATGTGTTACGTATAGAAAATTATATCCCGCATTTATAAGAGCTGTTATTTTGGTGAGGTGAGAGGTACCCATAAAATGTCACCACTTAAAACATGTAACTTAGATACCCACCGGTTTAGATAAAGGTCGGGACAAATGTTTTCGTGACGATTTGGTTGAAAACAAAATATCTCGGATTAAAACATGTTGTTTTTCTCTAATGTGAATATGATTCTCAGATAACCGGAAATTATAAGAATTGGACTATGCTTATAATTCTGCGCATTTAACTATCTCGTATCAATTTTCAAAACTGAAATGTTGAATCGCTTACATAATTAAAGCAGGAAGATTGCCATCAATTGTCTTGATTTGTACATAAACCAAACTTTCCCTATAGAAATGATACAAAAAAATGGGAACAAAAATCACGAAGGCAAGCCGACGATCAAAGAACGCAGTTCCTGACACAAGCCACACCCAATAGTAAGGACTATGCACTGACAGATAACTTAACCATTAAAAGTATGAAATATTAAAATATTGAAGAAAATAGTAAAATCTATATAATATCACAAATATAATCATAGAAAAGGAGCAAGCAAATCGGTAACGTTGAAGACAGAATATATTTCACATAGTAGTAGTTGTAGTAGTATGTACCCAAAACAACCACGGAATGATAATAGGACTTCTTTTGAAACTGATAAAAGTTATTTAGAATGAACAGTTGTTATTACAAATAAAAACACTGCATGCCTTAGACCAAAGGTGGCCAGTCAAAACACAGCAATTATCAGTTACCAGATTAATATCCGGTAATACTGCAGCGATTTGAAATAGCTACGTAATCAAAGTTTTTAGTTATATTCAATCATATACAGATCTTAGCATGGCAGAATGCTTAACGGATACTAAAATTAATTGGTCCCATTCATTGGTTGTTTTAAGTTGAGAAATTTAATCATACTCCATTACGCATACTTTTATACAAAAAACGTAGCATTCGTAATAACAAATATACGAACGAGGCCGATGGTCACAGCGTGTACTCCTCAACGCTTGATTAAAATTTTCTGTAAAAGAGCATTATTTACGTTATGTCAATACCAAGCATTAAATGCTCGTGTATCCACTGGGTACAGAAACTGCGTACGTAAATTGATGTTTACACTTTTATATCAGGAGCATCGTGCTTGATTTCAGTGAACAAATTTCCATTTAGGCTCTTAATATTACACTTTTAACAATCTTCTTTTATGAAGGAGAGAAGAAATAGGAGATTGTTGATTTACCTTTACATTCGTGTGTTTTGGGGGAGAAACTATATCCAGGTATACACTGGCAAATCCCTGTCCGACATTCCGAATTAACAGTCACACACTCGTTGCTATCCACGCAATAGTCTCCGATGTAATTTTCTCCTGCAAAAAATAATTTTTACTTAGAAAAGATATAAAATTCATCGTATTTGCTTTTGATTTTTTTTATAATGAATAGCAAATATGTCATACAGAGTATAGTAGTTTTCTGTTTAAATTTTAACCAGGGACATAACACGCTGATAGCTACACTTATCCTAAAATATTTTATCATTGATATATCAGTTTATTGTCAGCAAAATTTAAACAGAGACTATTACAAACAAAAGACAGATACTACAAAAATCAAAGAAATAATTGTTTTTTGCTACGTTGTTATGGCCAGATATGGTCCAGTTATCCAAACATTAAAGAATTTAGGATAGATAGCTCCTTAAAGGTAAATACCTTTATAACTACAATCAGTACAACCAAAGACTATACTTCTTTGCAAGAGCTAACAATAAGCAGTTCTACCATATAACACTTAATATTTTGTCTCAAATAAGTTAAAATACATGTATAAAAATAGCCGATCAATCAATTTTAAATATTTCTTGATTTCTTGAATTTAATTAAGAATTAATTTAAGGAAAAAAACGATTCTTAAGATATTCAACGATTCAAAGATATACTATGCCTGTTTTTCTAAGGACTAAGCCTTTTACTTGAACGTTATAAGCGGTCGGAGATTAAGAAAAAAATACAGCATTGTGACACCTGATAATCTTGTATGATATTTCACAACCATCAGTCACCCATCATTAGATTCGAGTGAATCTGCCATAAAACAAATACAGATATTAACTGGCTCTTTAGACATGATTAACGATTCCATTTACCTGAAACAGCGGGAAGATGTATCACACTGTCACATATATATAAGATAACAACTTAAATTTAAAATACTCGTCCTAAAATAACGCCGTACCTTGAGGAGGATGGTTTCTTTTTATTCACGAAATCTTAATGAGCTGGTTAATGCTGCGCAGAGGGGTACCCACCGGTAATTAATTACAATGAAAAGGTTGTACTATTTCGAGTTCTGCTATTTCTGATTTCATTTAAGTAAGAAAATATAACAATGAAAAACTCTAAGAACTGAGGTGAAGGAAATTTCCTTGTTTTCAGAACAGAAAAGAGAAGCAAATATGCTTAGCTAAGTTTTTGTTTGTTTGTTTGTTTGTTTCATTTTACGCCTTTTTCAACAGTATTTCAGTCATATAGGCGGGTAGTTTCCTAACCATCGTTCCTGGAGAGTTACACCAGTACTAGACTACCTTCCTCCGCGCTAAACTACCAAAGCATCTCCCGGGGATCGAACCCACGCCAGAGAGGTAAATGGATTAGAAGTCATCGACTCTAACCCCTCGACCACGGAGGCGGTAGCTAAGTTTTAAGTATATATAGAAGGTATGTTAAAGAAGAAAAATTAAATGGGGTTGCTATGCGTGGATTTTATCGTGTAAAGTTGTATTCATACTTGCACACTAGCTCGTTGGAATACAACAATACACAATCAAAAGAAAAACAAAACAAATTTAAACAACCACCCCCCCCCCCACAAAAAAAAACAACAAAAAAAACCAAAAAAACAAAACAAAAAAAAACAAGAAAAAACAAAAAAAACAACAACACAGAATCCCTAAAGAACGCACAAAACGAAAAAATTGAAAATGCTGCAGGCTCAGTTTGATTGAGCCTGTTCACGGACGGTACTGGAAAGTACACATTACCGTCTAGCACCGGTTCAAGCAGAATTCAACATTTAAATATTAAATTTATTTTAGTTATATTTTGAATTTTGAAACATCCGCAGATTTGTTTATACGGTGGTTCAATGTGACACGTTTGTGCCGTTCCATGAAAAGCGGCATATGGTCCCCAAGTAAAAGAATGCGTGTACGTGTCCTAAACTAGAAAACAATGGGCGGCACTAAAGAAAATGGCATTTTGAAGGAGGATCACCCTGCATAGTCAAAGACTCAACTCATGTGGTACATCCTATCACAATACCACATTCTTGCAATAATTCTTAAATAGAGTATTGTAATATTGTTTTTGCTGGATATAGTTACATTTTTGGATGTGCCCTTTACTTTGTTTATTTTATTTGCTCATCATTTTCATCTCTTTTTTATACAAACGGCCATAGCTTTCATACAAGTATGAGCATTTCTAAAAATGCTAAGTATCGCCGTTTAACGGGGTATCCTAAATACACAATGTACTTCTTATTTTTCTTCTCAAATAGACTCTTCCATGAATAATAGAGCAAATTATTCTTCTTTTACACTGCAGGAGCCTACACACTTGTTTCGAGCTTGGTACATGGAGATACTATTTCAATTCTATATATAAGTAACACACACAAAAAAATAGGCTGTGGCAGATCTGGCGTGCCATATAGGCGCCCATCTTTAAGGTCTTTTGTCGTCCTTTTTGTTATCATGTGGTATTAAATTCTCCATGATTCTCTATGATTTGGTGTACGGGTAGAAACGGTCAAATCTTGTTAAATGTATATGCCGCCGTCCAATAGCAGCTACAAAAATAGTTCAACATTTAGGACAACTCGGTTATATGTTACAAGAGTTGTCATTTATAAAGACTTATATCAAAGGAGCTCCATGAAAGTGTATAATTAGATAAATGTTTAGTAAGCATTACAGCATCTGAGACAAATGTAATGTAAGCATCTATGAAATAGCAACGACTGACAAATTATTTGTAAATTGTATATCATGCTACAAATGTATTAAAAGAAAGAAATCGCCAATTTTGGGAAAGGATTGGTACTTTCTAAGCCTGTGTATTTATCCTGTGATGCAATAATATGAAAACAAGGCAAGCATTGTGCAATAATAACGCCGTATCTGTAAAATATATGGCTGTAACGAGAAACACGGAACACATCCCAGGATACTAATATATTTTATAATAAATCAAAATTGTAAGAAATGAATTAGTGCATACGGCCGCTTAGACACATTATGCTTTACCAGCTTAAAAAAAGAAGAAGACGAGTGGTTAACGCGTCGGACTTGTAATCTAATTATCTTCAACACCGTCAGGTGCAAGTCGTTGTTTCCTTGAGCAAGAAACTTTACACTAATTGCTCAGTACTGGTTGGTTCCAGGAACGGTTTGTGTGTCTATAAGCGTATAGCTTTCTACAGAATCGAACGAAAATAGATTATGTATAAAACAAGACATAATTATTATGCTTAAACCAGCTTTATTAATATTAGAAGGATCATTTACTTGTTCATCGTGAGAATTACAACTTGGATATCGTATTGAAAGCGTCGTTCCCTCAGGGAAACAGATAAAAACAAGTCTTTAGACAGGACAAACTTGAGTTTTATGACGTTTACTTTAAAATTCAACTGTATTTCAAATTCGTTGTAAAAATTTTGACAGGTTATAATGCAAACAATCTCGACACATCTTTTTAACAATCCATTACAACTCTCAATTCCTTTATTTGAATTTGATAAATGTACAGCAGCCGAGTAAATAAATAAATTATAAATAAATTATTTATAAATAAATAAATAAATAAAACAAAATAAATAAAATAAATGAATGAATGAATTGATTAAGTTTTAATTAATTAGTAAATAATTCTAAATAAATGAATAATTTTTTGACTGGGTCTTGATCAATAGGAATTAATAGTTTAACATAGATAATATATGATTGATAAGGTTCTTTTGAATTGAATGAAATAAAAATTGAATGAAAGAAAAACTACAATACTTAAGGTGAATGCAATTTAGAAGAAATTTATTAGATAGTTGATTTCTGTGAGTAATTTAAAATATCTTAAACATTTTTATCGCAATATTATAATACGTTTTTCAATTTTGAATAACGAATTATAGCATTTCGAAAAAGATGCCTTATATAGAAGTTTCCTTTGCTGATATCTAAATAAACTTTCGATATTTCTTTGGCAATTTTACAGACTGTTGCATTAATTAATCATCGGACTGACTGACTGACTTGGTTTTGATACCAGCTTAATCTGTTAGTCCTAACAGTTGTCCAGTGTTTTTTCGTAATCTAATCTCTGATGCCCAGGCTACTTTGTTACTGTTTATTTACAAATCACATAATTTTCCATGCGTTAACATATTTGGTGATTTTTTTATTGTAATTTTTTTCACATATGAAATAACCATAGATGTATGGTGTGTCGCGAACAAGACAAGGGGTTTCTACGACTAAGGTCAATGTCACTGTGGGGTTCAAACTTTGTCAATTTTGATGTTAATATACATATAGGCAGAGATGGTCGTGTTTGCTCTGAAACTAATATGCATGAAAGGATTTTTTTTATTTCACATATGAAGTAATCATAAATGTATGATGTGTAGCTCTTAAGACACATGTTCCTACGCCTTAGTTCAAGGTCACTGGCGGGGTTTAAACTTTTTCAATATTTATGTTATACATATATACATATAAATGGTGGTTGTTGTGTCCACTCTGTAACTTCCATATACATGAAAGTTTCAATTTTTATTTAAAAATATAAAGTCAACATAGATCAATATTTACCACCACAGTGACACTTAACATGCAATAGGTTGTTTATAACTAGAATCCTTCGGGGGCATTTGTCACGTTCTGTGACAGCTGTTGTTTAGACATATGTACATATACCGGTACATTTATAAGGAGACTTAAGTATATGCACTATTTACAAGTGACATTCACAGGGACGCTGATCATTTACCCTACACTATAGTCTAGTTTAATGAGGATGATAACGCCTTATCATAAATTCGTGCTTAATTTATAGGCGGGGCTTAGTATGCTAAGTGTTCTATCCCATGATTCAAATTATCGAATAAATATTTTTCAGTAGATCTTTACAATAATATTTTTAATTATACAATATATATCTTTAAATATGGAACATATATATAGAAAATTATCGCACACAAATATTTTTTATGATGTACAAATATTCAGCAGGATTGAATAAATATTATGGTATAGAATATAAAATTAGAGTTATACAATATAAATATTGGATATAGAACATAAATTAAACTTACTGATTAACACGCCATACTCAACGCTTGATTAAAATATTCTGTAAATAGCATTATTTACGTAATGTCAATACCAAGCATTTAATGCTCGTGTATCCACTGGGTACAGAAACTGCGTACGTAAATTGATGTTTACACTTTACATATCAGGAGCATTGTGCTTGATTTCAGTAAACAGATTTCAATTTAGTTTCTTAAAAATGATATTATCTCATTTGTTAACTCAGATCGTAAGTAATTACCGGCATTGTTTACATATTGCATGTAGCGTTAAACGGGTTTTTTATTGTTAATTTGGGGACTGACAACCATCATGACCATAAATAATGTCAGAATTATAAAGATTAATGATTTAATTATTTCATTAACTGTTTACATATTTAATTGTAAACAGCGTTCCTTTAGCTAAAAAGTTTCATTTATTATAATTTTACCCGATAAACTTTGACAGGTGTTGTTGTTCGCTAATACATTATGGTTTGTATAACTTCTGTTGTCAATAGCAAATGCTGTCTAATCGTAGTAAACATACTGTTTCAAAGATATGTTTCATCAAAAGCAACAAACTTATAGCCATTCCATGGTACTAGTTATTTAGGCTTTGACAGTCGTCCAGATCAAGTATCACTAGTCCCTCTAACCCCAACAATTTCTATTTTATATAGAACATTGTTATAGTTGTGATCACTTCATTGTTCGTAAATACAGTATCGTTCTCTACAGTCCAGTCCGATTATTGGTCACCAAATCTTGAGCACGTTACCACATTTTAAAGAAGATTAAAGTAGCCTGGTACCATAAAGCTGGCCCGTAGCGCAACAATATCATGCGTTAACAAGCATCTTTTATGATGTTGATTTACCTGTACATTCGTGTGTTTTGGGGGAGAAACTATATCCAGGTATACACTGACAAATCCCTGTCCGACATTCCGAATTAACAGGCACACACTCGTTACTATCCAAGCAAAAGTCTAAAAGAATTTTTACTTAGAAAAGATATAAAATTCATCTTGTTTGTTTTGATTGTTTTAATGAATAGCAAATCAGTCATAAAAAGTATTCTAGCTAGTTTTCTCTTAAAATTTTAACCAGGGACATGACATGCTGATAGCTACACTTATCCTTTAAATATTTTATCATTGATGTATCTGTTTCATTGTCAGCAAAATTTAAACACAGACTATTCTAACATAAAAGGACAAACAAAAGTAAGATACCACACAGATAAAAAAAAAATATTTTCTGCTGAATGTTTATGGCCAGTTAATTACCTTTGAGAAAAAAAATGTAGATATGGCCAAGTTTTCCAAACATTATTTAAAGAATTTTGGATAGACTAGCTCCTTAAAAAAAACAACCTTATAACTATAACTCCAATCAGTATGTAACTAAAGACCATACTTATATGCAAGCGCTAACAATAACAGTTCTACCATATAACTCTCAAATAAGTTATAAATACATGTTTTTAAATAGCCGATCAATCAAATTTAAATATTTCTTGATTTCTCGAATTATATTAAGAATTAATTTAAGAAAAACAACGATTCTTAATATATTCAACGATTCAAAGATATACTATGCCTTTTTCCTTTCTTTCTTTTTTTTAAAGGCCAGTTTTTATTGACACAATGTAATCATACTGTGATTTTAAAACGTAACATTTTTACTCTAAGTGCATTCAAAAGATGTTTATTTTAGATTACAAGAGAGACTGTATAGTATTTATCATTTTCATCAAATATCAAATTTGAGCATAAGACTTTAAGACTACGAAATTCTCAGTAACTACTAGAAAAAGGACTAAGCCTTTTACTTGAACCTTATAAGCGAAGAGGTCACCACAAAGATTAAGAAACAAATACAGCATTGTGACACCTGATAATCATGTATGATATTTCACAACCATCAGTCACCCATCATTAGATTCGAGTGAATCTGCCATAAAACAAACACAGATATTAACTGCCTCTATAGACATGATTAACGATTCCATTAACCTGAAAGAGCGGGAGGATGTATCCCACTGTCACATATATAAGATAACAACTTAAATTTAAAATACTCGTCCTAAAATAACGCCGTACCTTGAGGAGGATGGTTTCTTTTTATTCACGTAATCTTAATGAGCTGGTAAATGCTCCGCAGAGGGGTAGCAATAAATAACAATGAAAAGGTTGTATCATTTCGAGTTCTGCTGTTTTCTGATTTCATTTAAGTAAGAAAATATAACAATGAAAAACTCTAAGAACTGAGGTAAAGGAAATTTCCAGGTTTTCAGAACAGAAAAGAGAAGCAAAATATGCTTAGCTAAATTTTACGTATACAGAAGGTATTTTAAGAAGAAAATTTAAATGGGGTTGCTATGCGTGGATTTTATTGTGTAAAGTTGTATTCATACTTACCTACTAGCTCGTTGGAATACAACAATACACAATCAAAAGAAAAACAAACAAAAAGAACAAAAAAACAACAAAAAACAAAGAAAAAGAAACACAGAATCCCTAAAGAACCGACAAGATTGAAAATGCTGCAAGCTCAGTTTGATTGAGTCTGATCACGAACGGTACTGGAAAGTACACATTACCGTCTAGCACCGGTTCAAGCAGAATTTAACATTTAAATATTAAAATGGTTATATTTTGAATTTTGAAACATCCGCAGATTTTTTTATACGGTGGTTATCATGGGACCTTCAATGTTACACGGAAAGAATCCCCTATTTTATAAATATTTTATAATAAATCAAATTGTAAGAAATGAATTAGCTAGTGCATACGGCTGCTTAGATACATTATGCTTTACAAGCTTTAAAAAAATAAAATAAAAAATGAAGTCTAAACGTCGAAAGCTAAAGAAAAGCGTTTGTTTTCATGGAACTGATTATATTAACCAGGTTTACAAATATAAGGATCATTACTTGTTCATCGTGAGAATTACAACTTGGCTATTGTATTGAAAGCGTCGTTTAAGGCATGTTATTCCTCAGAGAAACAAATCTAATACAGGACACCAAAATAAAAAGATTTGAAAAATAAAAATAAAATAATGTCTGTTTATAATGGCCAACCACACAAATAACACTTTATTCTTTTTATATTTCGGTATACCTGAGACATTTGCCGACAAACTGGTCTCATATAACACTCAAAGAAAGCAGATGAAATGTGATTCAGACACTTTTTATGAAGTTACAAGTGCAGGCTTGGTACATCATTCACGAAATCGGCTTTACCTCATAAAAAGTAACTCAAGCATATGTAGTCTGGTTGTTTCAGAATTATATAAAACAAGTAGTTTGTCAAATGTCTCGGGTATACGTACCGAATACAAAAAAATTAATAACTGTAATTTATGAGTGTACCAATATACATCAACGAAACAAATTCATTTACCTGAATATTTTTGCAAGGTTGTCATGCTCATGAAATATCTAGAAAAATATACTTTCATGAAATTTTTAAATGAGATTTAAACACTTAAATGGGCCCGTTTTAGTTTATATTATTTCACGCATTTCATGTCCCTCTCCTTTCACCGCCCTTATGTCTATTCCAGGTTTTGGTTGGGTGCCTTCTGGGTGCCCAACTTTGGTGTGTCGGGGGCTGCGTCCTGTGAACGTTGCCTTTGCCTTGTTGATTATTGTCTTTTAAAATATAATGTCATATTTCTCGATCGCGCTATAATTTTATTTCTTTCAATCTAATTCTCTTTTAGATGTAACGGTCCGCTTACTTACTGTGTTCCTCGTTTCGGTTAATCATTGTACAAATTCGGCGTTTCTATTGCGCAATTCCTGTGATATTCTCACATTCCTGGACCATTCCTGGCGGATTATATTGGCCTCATTAATTGCGTTCTTGGCCACTCGAGCTCGTACAAAATCAACCCCTGTGTTACAACCTATCAAATCACACATTATTGCAATATTCCCGTAATTTTAAACATTAAAAAGATATACCTATGAAACATTTAAAATATGATCAAACGTCTGAAAAAAACAACAACAAAAAACAATGAACAAATTGTTCATGCAAGGAGTACAAACCTTGTTGGGCTATTCGCTTTTGTGTTCGATTTCAATTGCCATTTTATATAAGTTAACATCCAAATAATTTAAAGAATCTACTTATTCTATATGATTATCACTTTTCAAAATCAAAGCTTTTGTTATGCTGGTATTTTGTCGTAAAGTAAGCCCCATATATTGCTACATTCTTCTATGACGTTCAGCATTGACTGTTGGGATTTTGGATCTTGAGAAAATATAACTGCGTCATCGGCAAAATGCAATAAAATAATTGAACGCTACCAATGCAATTCCATTAACATTAATATTAGTTTTATTTGTCAAAATCAATTAGAAAGAAGATACACAAAAAGCTGCTGGCGGGGTCACCTTGCTTCACTTCAATGTTTGAATTTATAAAGTTAGAATTAGTCGAATTATACCTTACAAACGATTTGACCGCTGAGTACATTGACTTTATAGCGAATACAAATTTTGTGCTTACATTTGCATTCCTAAGCTTTTGCCACAAATAAACACTATCAATTTTTTTCACAGATTATAAAGAAGCAACCAGAAAGAATTTATGATTTATTCAATCATATTAAAATCATTGAATTCAAACGACAAATACATAAAGAAGAAATATCAAGATTCAGCCATTATATGTTTGAGAAATAATGACGCTATAGATCAACAAGACACTTTTTAGATATAAGTAAAATATCACTCATTAGCAATAGGCATTTGTTCTGCAATGTGACTTATATTTTGAAATACAAAATATTCTTTTCACTTTCCAATATGAAAACACTTCAGTTTGTAGAGGGTTTTATTCTAAATTGTTTAACAGTGTGACTGTCATAGAAATACAAACTATAAAAAAAATCAACATTAAATTATCTACCGTAATTGGATTTTAAACATTTTAATATGTCAATTTTCTCTTCGAAGTTGAAATGGCTATAAACAGCTATCATCGTAATGTGGCGGCAGTTTCAGCATTGTTTAGGGGAAAACAGATGTGATTGAAATCGACGTTTTCACATTTTATTTAGATAAAATAGTTTTCTTTGATTAAAACGCCTATTGATTACCAATCTACATAGATAACTGCACATTTCCGGTAATAAAAACACGCACTTCTGTCGTAAATCTAGTTTGAATGTGTTGTAAAATGCAACTTCAATGTATTTGCATCATGAAGTGATTGGCTTAATTATTTCAGTCAGCGGTCGCATTTAAATTTTATCTGCAACTGCAAGAGAACCTACTCTCTGTAGACCTATATCCGTCTTGAACACAACTTCTTTTAAATTGATACTTTATACACTGCATGTGGTCAAAAAGGTATATATGTATTTTGTAAGAAAAATGTGTATCTATGTCATTTAACAACACGTTTTTAAAGACTTTTGATAGAAAATGTCGTGCGACTTTGGATGAATGACCTATACAAATAATGCATTGCTACATAGAATCAATAACAGTCGTAACTTTAGACGTGATCTTTTTATTTACAAATTTGCGAATTTGCATTATAATTGACTTTTGAATGTAATATTATACATGTATACTAGTAAAGTGGTTGTTCAAGCGTGAGTCAATATGTAACGCAATATAATGTATATTTTCTAATTTAGCTCGTGATTCTTGTGTTTTTGTAAGGTATGATATGCTTCAAAACATCTGATTTCAAATAATACTAGAATCATGTGGGCAGTCTATCGATTAAGAATTTTATTCACATTGAAAATACCTTGCACGGGTAACTTTATGTAAATAATGGCTAGTAAACGCTCAGTTAAAAGTGCTGAAATACGGACTTACATTAAAGCTCGGGTAAAACTAGGAAAATATGCTAAAATGTTTATAATGATATTTGTAATATTCAAGGTACCAATGAAGTATCTAATGCAACTGTTTCGAGGTTGATGCACACATTCAAAAAAGGGCATGAGTGAATTGAAAATTCCTGCAATTCTGATAACGACAAAAACATTCATAAAGTCAAACTCAGCATTGACAAAGATGCCAGACTTTCATTTACTCAGATAGCCTATATCGCTGGGATATCTCGTACGATTTTGAAGAATCGCTTGAAAGTTAGGCGAATTACTGCCAGATGGATACCTTATTTGCTAACATCTATAACAAAAAGATTTCACAAAAACTGTCCGTCGACCATGCATTTACAAGCAATTGTCAAACATCAAAAAAGTTATTTAAGTTTTTTCTATACTCGTAGAAATGATGTCCAAATTCCTGTTCTAGAGGCCGTTCTATCACATCTAAGTATCATAGAGGCGTCGTGTTAAGAAAAATCGAACACACTTTAATGAAGTTTGACTATATCCATCGTTTTCTCACTACTTGGTACCTGTGACTTTCTTCTTTCCTTGACAAAAAAACCATATTGCTGGTCATCGCTTCAAGAGAAGAGATGGATTTGGATCTTTTTCAGTGATTGAAAAGTATACCTATAAGGAGGACTATGTTGAAGCATTTAAAAATTTGATTAAACATCTGAAACTTTATATTTCTTAAGAAAAACATTCCGAAGGGTTGAAGCAGAAAATTGTAAAATGTTTGTTCAATTGTTAAATTAATTGACCACTGCATAACAATCATAATGACCCACTCTCGAACTCAGTCTTGATTAAGTTCTATCATGTTGTTAATAGAATCGAAATTTTGTAAAGGACTGGAAAGTATTATCAGTTTCAGCAATTGGTTATCTGTTAAAAGTGAACTATCTTCCTACAAAGATAAACCTGTTTTTATTGACTTTGTGCCATCGCTGGCAGGAATAGGTAATTAAGGCCTTAGTAGTCAATGTCCGAGATTGATGACTGTATAGATATGCCATAGCATTGCTGTATTGGATAACTTTGTAAGGGGTATCGTGAAGGACCTATTCGCTGCAATTGAAGATATAAGGATAAATAATATGATATTCTTGATAAGGGGAAAACGATATTGTGTTCCATATCTTGCATGAAAACTATATTTTGTGATATATATCGAGTTACTCGCAATCTCTTTGATAGTAAGCGATCACAAAAGTTTGAACTGAATCGTGATACCAACGTTCCGGGTATTGTAAAACTGTAATGTTTGCCAAATAACACACTTGCGTAGCTCGTCCGTACTCCAATGAAACACACGTGTAGTCCGTGCGTGAATTACAAAGGTTAAAACACTCTTGTAAAGTTAAGCCATCGAAGGTCTCCATATTTTTCTTGCTGATATAATGATCCATGATTTCCCAATAATCGTTTCCATAGTTTGTACATTCTGAAATTATATATAAAACGACAGATGTGTTACGTATAGAAAATTATATCCCGCATTTATAAGAGCTGTTATTTTGGTGAGGTGAGAGGTACCCATAAAATGTCACCACTTAAAACATGTAACTCAAATACCCACCGGTTTAGATAAAGGTCGGGACAAATGTTTTCGTGACGATTTGGTTGAAAACAAAATATCTCGGATCAAAACATATTGTTTTTCTCTAATGTGAATTTGATTCTCAGATGACCGGAAATAATAAGAATTGGACTATGCTTATAATTCTGCGCATTTAACTATCTCGTATCAATGTTCAAAACTGAAATGTTGAATCGATTACATAATTAAAGCAGGAAGATTGCCATCAATTGTCTTGATTTGTACATAAACCAAACTTTCCCTATAGAAATGATACAAAAAAAATGGGAACAAAAATCAAGAAGGCAAGACGACGATCAAAGAACGCAGTTCCTGACACAAGCCACACCCAATAGTAAGGACTATGCACTGACAGATAACATAATCATTAAAAGTATGAAATCTTAAAATATTGAAGAAAATAGTAAAATCTATATAATATCACAAATATAATCATAGAAAAGGAGCAAGCAAATCGGTAACGTTGAAGACAGAATATATTTCACATAGTAGTAGTTGTAGCAGTATGTACCCAAAACAACCACGGAATGATAATAGGACTTCTTTTGAAACTGATAAAAGTTATTTAGAATGAACAGTTGTTATTACAAATAAAAGCACTGCATGCCTTAGACCAAAGGTGGCCTGTCAAAACACAGCAATTATCAGTTACCAGATTAATATCCGGTAATACTGCAGCGATTTGAAATAGCTACGTAATCAAAGTTTTTAGTTATATTCTATCATATACAGATCTTAGCATGGCAGAATGCTTAACGGATACTAAAATTAATTGGTCCCATTCATTGGTTGTTTTAAGTTGAGAAATTTAATCATACTCCATTACGCATACTTTTATATAAAAAACGCAGCATTCGTAATAACAAATATACGAACGAGGCTGATGGTCACAGCGTGTACTCCTCAACGCTTGATTAAAATATTCTGTAAAAGAGCATTATTTACGTTATGTCAATATCAAGCATATTATAAATGCTCGTGTATCCACTGGGTACAGAAACTGCGTACGTAAATTGATGTTTACACTTTTATATCAGGAGCATCATGCTTGATTTCAGTAAACAGATTTCCATTTAGGCTCTTAATATTACGCGTTAAACAAGCTTCTTTTATGAAGAAGAAAGAGATTGTTGATTTACCTTTACATTCGTGTGTTTTGGGGGAGAAACTATATCCAGGTATACACTGGCAAATCCCTGTCCGACATTCCGAATTAACAGTCACACACTCGTTGCTATCCAAGCAAGAGTCTCCGATGTAATTTTCTCCTGCAAAAAATAATTTTTACTTAGAAAAGATATAAAATTCATCGTATTTGCTTTTGATTTTTTTATAATGAATAGCAAATATGTCATACAGAGTATAGTAGTTTTCTGTTTAAATTTTAACCAGGGACATAACACGCTGATAGCTACACTTATCCTTAAATATTTTATCATTGATATATCAGTTTATTGTCAGCAAAATTTAATCAGAGACTATTACAAACAAAAGAAAGATACCACAAAAATCAAAGAAATAATTGTTTTTGCTCGTTGTTATGGCCAAAGTCATTTCAATTACTTTTGGATAGACAGTTGGATATTATATACAGTCAGTATAACCAAACATTTGAAAGTTTCAGTTTTCATCATAATACAATATTTGCTAGAAACAATAAAATACCTATTTAAATATTCTTAGTTCTCGTTAATAAATCTAATTAGGAAAAATGACTAAGACCTTGTTTTGCTTTTAACGTTTAAACGTAAAGAGGTCACCACAAAGATTAAGAAAAAAATACAGCATTGTGACACCTGATAATCTTGTATGATATTTTACAACCATCAGTCACCCATCATTAGATTCGAGTGAATCTGCCATAAAACAAATACAGATATTAACTGGCTCTATAGACATGATTAACGATTCCATTAACCTGAAACAGCGGGAAGATTTATCACACTGTCACATATATAAGATAACAACTTAAATTTAAAATACTCGTCCCAAAATAACGCCGTGCCTTGAAGAGGATGGTTTCTTTTTATTCACTAAATGAGCTTGTAAATGCTCCGCAGAGGGTAGCGATGATGAACAATGAAAAGGTTGTATTATTTCGAGTTCTGCTATTTCTGATTTCATTTAAGTAAGGGAAATACAATAAAAAACTCTAAAAACTGAGGTGAAGGAAATGTCCTTGTTTTCACAACAGAAAAGAGAACGAAATATGCTTAGCTAAGTTTTAAGTATACAGAAGGTATTTTAAAGAAGAAAAATTAAATGGGGTTGCTTTGTGTGGATTGCATCGTGTAAAGTTGTATTCATACTTGCCTACTCGCTCGTTGGAATAGTTAGAATACAACAATACACAATCAAAAGAAAAACAAACAAAAAAAACAAAAAACACAGAGAATCCCTAAAGAACGCACAAAACGACAAAATTGAAAATGCTGCAGGCTCAGTTTGATTGAGGCTGTTCACGGACGGTACTGGAAAGTACACATTACCGTCTAGCACCGGTTCAAGCAGAATTCAACATTTAAATATTAAATTTATTTTAGTTATATTTTGAATTTTGAAACATCCGCAGATTTGTTTATACGGTGGTTATCATGGGACCTTCAATGTGACACGTTTGTGCCATTCCATGAAAAGCGGCATATGGTCCCCAAGTAAAAGAATGCGTGTACGTGTCCTAAACTAGAAAACAATGGGCGGAACTAACACGGGGAGGAATCACGCCGTTCGTTACCCAAACAAACAAGATGGCGGATGCGGCCAAAAAGTAGGATTTTCCCTTTTTTCTCTGAAATTCGTGATGTTCATGTGTAAAGGTACATATAACAACCTTCTCCACAATTTTCCTGGCACACCGAAATGTATTTCATAGTGTTTCGTCCCGTGCTTCTTCTGAAATGCGCGTCACCAGATTCGAAGCGAGAGAATTTTCCACCGGTTTGATCGTGGTAACGTACGGCTTCTTCTCTAAAATTCACTGTTTCGTTTACATATATGTATATTAACTGAAATCACTGACATTAAAAAGTTGTAATATGTCGGCATCTAAAGTATTCATGCCCATTCTGGCTAGAATAACCGCTGAAAATATTAAAATCGGGGCATTTTCCGGAAATGATAACGTATGGCGCACAAAATAACAATGATAACGTACGGCGCATTTTTGTCTGCTTAATTGATTTTCTATATAAGAGAAAAGTTATGTTACCAGTTACCAGACATAAGAGGATGTTTAGAACCAAATAAAGAAACTGAATATTATTTAGTGTTTGCATAATATCTGTCATGTGTTTTTGTATCGGATAGAAATATCCGATCCGAGGGCTCTTTCGCAATGGGCTGTAACGATGCTTGCTAACTTAAGCCCTTGTGCAGGTGCCAGTGGGATGGATATTAAAATCCGATAGGTAATCACGAGTGATATGTTTTCTTGCATATCATAGTCGAATATAGAGCAACTTTTCCACCTTTGGTGATCTTAAAGTTTCGTCAAAAGTGAAACTTGATCGCAAATTTCAAATATCTATGTATATGTTAGTGCTCATCCGTACTGTTCTATAGAAATTATAGATTTTGACGGGAGCGATAGCGACAGAAGGATGTTTTAATTTCTGTAAAACAGCTACGGATGAATACTAACATACTAAGTGTCAAGCTTTTTTGGCACTTTATTACGTCACAATGCTGTTCTATGAATTATAATCGACTATGAACGGAATTCAATAAAGTATCGTCTTTTGTCATGTTTGTTCTTCAATGAAAATTAACGCACATATTTTTTTAAGAAATACAGCGCTTTCATTGGGTGAGAAATAAATTTGGACACTACATAAACTTCTATTTTCCATAGTGATCAATAGAACCGTGTTCGTAAAATAGACAAGTATAGTGACGAAAGAAAGTAAATATTAATGAAGCTAAATAAAGCTTGACACTTAGTATGTTAGTATTCATCCGTAGCTGTTCTACGGAAATAAGAAACATTCTCCGGCCGCTATATCGCTCCTGTCAAAGTTTCTAAATTCTGTAGAACAACACAGATGAACACTAACTGATTACTACGCTACTATGATAATAGTGTTTACGAAGTGTATGTTACTAACATATACTTCGTACACACTATTATCATAGTAGCGTAGTAATTTTTACAGCTGTTCTTTCATAAAGATAATGACGTCATCTGAGCGCATTCATGAGCGGTCTAGCTTTAATGATTTCAGACGGGTTCTCGGGCATGGATAAAACATCGAAATCCAAATCCGATTTGAAACTTTATCATGGTCGGTAAATTGTTTACCGCAAATTTCAATGACACTCTTTTATTGCTGAAACCTGCAATACTATTTTGTAAGAGATTGATTGTTTTTGTTGGGGCGTTTGCGAGAAAAAAACGCCAAAATATGATAGGCAAATTTATGAATTGGATGTAATTGTTTTGATCGAATCAATTATAATTAAAAACTGTACGGATATGTCGTGCAAATATATCTGACGTCATAGTGGCACAACGTCACGCTTAATAGAAAACGTTTCGTCAAATAAACTGGAAATTTCTTATTTAATAAATTTATTGAACTTTTTCGCAAAACATTATTTTCTAACTAATTCAATAAATTCAATATAGAACTTATACTCATTCATTATTCTCTTTTATGAATTTTCTTTTAATGAGCGACCAGATTGTATAAACACAGGCTCATCTCATCTGGGTGTAAGCTAGTCGTAATCACTTTTCGTTTTGTTATTTGTTTGGGTCGTCAGACCAAACAAATAATGGTAGCGAAATTTCAGACTCTAATGCTGTTAATTGCAAGTGCCGAAAGTAGTCCGCTTTTTTAAGCGGTTACTTCCCTTTATATGTAAACTATCGCCGAAAAATTCAGGGGAGATCACTGCGTAAAGATGGACAAATGACAGGCGCATTAATTTTCAAGCAAAATAATTCCCGAATGGTCGAAGATTTCTAAATTGTTTTATTCTTTATAGATATATATGCTTATAGTAAGCTCCATGATTATTTACATCTGTGTTAAACAAGCAATTATCATAGTATTGCAAGCAATCCATAAGTCCCCTACCGGTAAGAGCCCAAGCAACATTCTGAAGGGCCATTGGCCATTCACTTATGTTTCTATTTTAAGTAAATTTGTTGAAAAAGTTCTTAAAAAGTGATCACAGTGAACAGACAGACAGACGGACTGAAGGACAGTCTAAAGTTATTTTTTAAACATCCCTGTTATCAAAATATAACATTTTAAAAGCAAAATTTAAAAAAAAGGAGATAACGATGTCAAACATGATGTGAGTGTAACAAAGAACAATTAGTAATGAAGGTATGAGTATTGAATATTTATTTTTAAATTGAAGTAAATGAAAGTTAAAAGAACAAATAGGAAAAATTAAAAGTTTAAGGAGGAGATAATTCTGGAAATATAGATGCTAGATTTATAAACCTTGTCATATTATAATGATGTGGGAGTTTGAAGAAAATTCTATCATGATTGAAGAAGTTGGAGTAAAAATTACCAATTTCTCAAAAAAAAGTCTAAGTTCAAAAGGGGCATATTTCTGGAAATAGTCTTGCTAGAGTATTGAACACTAACAAATGTTGAGTGATAATAAGAAACATTTATATGAAGTTTGAAGTAGATACGTTCAGAAAAAAAGAAGTTATTAAAAAAAAAAACAATGTTTTTTTTCATGAAAATTTTAAGTTCAAGGGAGGTAATTCTGATAAATTTTGTGCTAGAGTTGTAAACTTTGTCACATATGATGTGGTTGATGACTAGCAACTTATTTTTAAAGTTTGAAGAAAATACTTTAAGAAATAAAGAACTTATAGTGAAAAAACTTAAAAACTAGAATCAGAAATCTTGAAATTCAGTCTATTTGTTGCCATAGCAACCAGAATTTTCAACACAGGAAGATAAGAAAAGGATGTGCATAATTTCCATACTGCCATCTACCCATATGTCAAGTTTCATAAAAATATTTTCAATACTTTTTGCGTTATCACTGGATCCAGGTTATGTGTAAAATCTGCCATATTTTCAGTCTATTTGTTGCCATAGCAACCAGAATTTTCAGCATAGGAAAAAAAGAAAAAGACGTGCATAATCTCCATACTACCATCTATCCATATATCAAGTTTCATAAAAAGAAATTCAGTACTTTTTGCGTTATCGCGGGATCCAGGTTATGTGTTAAATTTGCCATATTTTCAGTCTATTTGTTGCCATAGCAACCAGAATTTTCAACATAGGAACAAAAGAAAAAGACGTGCATAATCTCCATACTGCCATCTATCCATATACCAAGTTTCATTAAAATATTTTCAGTACCTTTTGTGTTATCGCGGGATCCAGTTTTGTGGACGGACGGACTGACGGACGGACAGACGGACGGACTGACGGACAGACAGACGGACAGACGGACGGAGGGTAAACCTAAAGTCCCCTCCGGTAAACCGGTAGGGGACTAACAACAGTTAGCGTCGTTACAAACCCTATATAGAATAATATAGTTTTCTACAGGCTGTTAACAAATAACTTCACCGTGGCCGTGGGGTTTGCGCGCTCGCTTAGGAAGCGAGATGTCTAGAGTTCAAATCCCAGTTAAGGCAACTCATTTTTTTCTAATTGTTTAAGTCAAATAAACATTGGATTGAATATCAGTGTTTAAATTAGTCTTATAGCCAATTTACTACAATTAAGACGCTGGTAAGCATTGGTGGCACTTTACAAAAACAAATTGGTTTATAATCTCACAACCTTCACCTTTCTGACATTCTGAGACCCAAACAAATTCAGCGCCTTCTGTGCTTTGATTTATGTTTGACGTGGTTCAAATATTAAGATTTTCTTATCAGTAATTTGTTAAAGTAATTTTGGAAAAGAAAATATATCAAGTCTTCCGTACCATTTTAACATTTTTGCTCTGGTGAATGCATTTCTTCTTTCTGATAAGGGGATAAGACCATAATTATCGCACAACACTGGCGAAATTTAATGTGAAGACAACAATACACAAATTCTGCATTTTATACAAAAATATTCTCAAACTATAAACGTGTGTTTTACTTGGTATATTTACAACGAATATCTATTATGCCACCAGCTAGAAAGATATTGATACCCGATGGTGCAGCATTGTTCAATAATTTATTTCTGAGATGACAAATATCTATCATTTCCTACATACAAATAATTTATTATCAGCTGACTGGACAAATAGAAATCCACCAAGTAGAAAAATGCGCCGTACGTTATCATTGATATTTTATGCGCCATACGTTATCATTTCCGGAAAATGCCCCGATATTAATATTTACACCAGTAAATCTAGCCAAAATGGGCATGAATGATTACTTGACAACATATTACAACTTTTTAAAGTCAGTGGTTTCAGTTAATATACATATATGTAAAAGAAACAGCGAATTTGAGTGAAGAAGCCGTACGTTACCACGATCAAACCGGTGGAAAATTCTCTCGCTTCGAATCTGGTGACGCGCATTTCAGAAGAAGTACGGGACGAAACACCATGAAATAAATTTCTGTGTGCCAGGAAAATTGTGGAGAAGGTTGTTATATGTACCTTTACACAAGAACATCATGAATTTCAGAGAAAAAAGGGAAAAACCTACTTTTTGGCCGCATCCGCCATCTTGTTTGTTTGGGTAACGAACGGCGTGATTCCTCCCCGTGACTAAAGAAAATGGTATATTGAAGGGGAATCACCCTGCATATCACAGATAAAACGTCAAAAGACTCAACTCATGTGGTACATCCTATCACAATATCACATTCTTGCAATAATTCTTAATTACAGTATTATAATATTGTTTTTGCCGGATATAGTTACTGTTTTGGATGTGCTCTTTACTTTGTTTATTTTATTTGCTCATGATTTTCATCTCTTTTTTATTCAAACGGCCATAGCTCTCATTCAAGTATGAGCATTTCTAAAATGCTAAGAATCGTCGTTTAACGGGGTATCCGAAATTCACAATGTACTTCTTATTTTTCTTCTCAAATAGACTCTTCCCTGAATAATAGAGCAAATTATTCTTCTTTTACACCGCAGGAGCCTACACACTTGTTTCGAGCTTGGTACATGGAGATACTATTTCAATTCTATATATAAGTAACACACACAAAAAATAGGCTGTGGCAGATCTGGCGTGCCATATAGGCGCCCATCTTTAAGGTCTTTTGTCGTCCTTTTTGTTATCATGTGGTATTAAATTCTCCATGATTCTCTATGATTTGGTGTACGGGTAGAAACGGTCAAATCTTGTTAAATGTATATGCCGCCGTCCAATAGCAGCTACAAAAATAGTTCAACATTTAGGACAACTCGGTTATATGTAACAAGAGTTGTCATTTATAAAGACTTATATCAAAGGAGCTCCATGAAAGTGTATAATTAGATAAATGTTTAGTAAGCATAACAGCATCTGAGACAAATGTAATGTAAGCATCTATGAAATGGCAACGACTGACAAATTATTTGTAAATTGTATATCATGCTACAAAAGTATTAAAAGAAAGAAATCGCCAATTTGGGGAAAGGATTGAGACTTTCTAAGCCTGTGTATTTATCCTGTGATGCAATAATATGAAAACAAGGCAAGCATTGTGCAATAATAACGCCGTATCTGTGAAATATATTGCTGTAACGAAAGCAGCCCATGATACTAATATATTTTATAATAAATCAAAATTGTAAGAAATGAATTAGTGCATACGGCCGCTTAGACACATTATGCTTAACCAGCTTAAAAAAAGAAGAAGAAGACGAGTGTTTAACGCGTCGGACTTGTAATCTAATGAACTTCAACACCGTCAGGTGCAAGTCGTTGTTTCCTTGAGCAAGAAACTTTACAATAATTGCTCAGTACTGGATGGTTCCAGGAACGGTTTGTGTGTCTATAAGCTTAATTATAGCTTCCTACAGAATCGAACGAAAATAAATTATGTATAAAACAAGACATATTATGCTTAAACCAGCTTTTTAAATATTAGAAGGATCATTTACTTGTTCATCGTGAGAATTACAACTTGGATATCGTATTGAAAGCGTCGTCCAAGGCGCGTTACTCGTAAGGGAAACGGATAAAAACAATTCTTTAGACATGACAAACTTTAAGTTTTATGACGTTTACTTTAAAATTCACCTGTATTTCAAATTCGTTATAAAGATTTTGACAGGTTATAATGCAAAAAATCTCGTATACACGACAAATCTTTTTAACAATCCATAATACATCTCAATTCCTTTATTTGATAAATGTACAGCAGCCGTGTATATAAATAAATACATAAATAAATAAATAAGTTAAATGAAATAAATGAATTAATTTATTAAGTTTTAATTAACAAATTAATAATTCTAAATAAATGAATAAATTTTTTGACTTGGTCTTGATCAATAGAAATTAATAGGTTAACATAGATGAGATATGACTGATAAGGTTCTGATAAGAATTGAATGAAATAAAAATTAAATGAAAGAAAAAATACAAAACTTAAGGTGAATGCAATTTAGAAGAAATTTATTATAAGTTTATTTCTTTGAGTATTTTAAAACATCTTAAACATTTTTATCGCAATATTATAATTCGTTTTTCAATTTTTAATAACGAATTGTAGCATTTTGAAAAAGACGCCTAATATAGAAGTTTCCTTTGCTGATATCTTAATAAACTTTCGATATTTCTTTAGCAGTTTTACAGGCTGTTACATAAATACTGGGACTGACTGACTTGGTTTCGATACCAACTTAATCTGTTAGTCCTCACAGCTGTCCAGTGTCTTTTCTTAATCTAATCTCTGATGCCCAGGTTACTTTGTTACTGTTAATTAACAAATCACATCATTTTCCATGCATACTTAACAAATTTGGTGATTTCATTATAACTAAGCAAACTCGTTGCTGAAATAGAAACGGGTAATCGACCAAGCGCTCCAAAACCAGCAAAATTGGATGTTTATGGTCGACCGCCAAGAACTGTTGTACAATGCGCAATGGATTTTGTCAACTTCTTTATATCACAAACCCTAACATCCAAATCTTAATTGTACAGAATAACGACAACAGCAAATTGTTTACCTTAAGAGCTTGGTCATTTTATGTCTTTACATCATTTAGCATATGTCATGTGTATAAGAATTTTACACCAAGATACAAACATTTTCTCCATTGATAGACAATTTAAATATTTTCTTGTTTCTATTTTCTTTCAAAATATATAAGTTTTAGTTTTGTTTATATCAATTTTGTTTTTTAATTTTCATTTCTAAAAATCTTCATCAAGATTATCTATCTATCTGAATTTGAATACTGTTAAAATTGAACTTTTTATCATGACTAGTGCCATACAGTTAATTTAGGTAATTACACATTGTCGTCTGTAATGGAAAACAGTTTTGTAAAAACATAACTAACGGTCTAGCCAGCTCAATGATACTGTTTATTTGTATTACACTGGAATCAATGGTATTTTCTTTTAACAATACAAAATATGCAAAATGTTCATCGTGAAATATTTCAGCATTCCTTTTATTTAATTGTTTAATTAATATATAAAAAGCTAATATTTTCTCCGAATAATTGATATGATACGTCATGCTTCTTGTAATTTCTTAATATAAAAACTAACTAAATATGTTACATACCGTGTGGCCGTAGATAGTAGCGGTAATTTGGACTATCTGTAATGGCTAGTGGGTCACCAAATGTTATTGAATGGCCTTGACAATGTCCGGTCATTTTGTTATAAAACACACTTGCACATCTTTCATCCCGAGAGCATTCTCCAATACATAATGGCGTTCCCTTTCTGTTAAATTCCCACAACATACGAAAGTCCGAAATTTTATCATCTAAGTTAGTTCTCCGTTTTGCAACTCCAGTTGTGATTTCGGAATATACTTGGAATATACGAATTATGATAACTAACAGTATGATAGTAGTTGACAATAGACTAGTGTCAACTGGGGCCATTATGATTTAATCCAGAAATATGACTTGCAGCACAGTATCTCACATTAACTTGTGTTTTTCTTCAATAACTGAAAAAAATCCATGAGTATAAAATTGATATAACTTTTACATTATCTGAAGCATACAGTTTACCAAAACATAAGTTTGCCCTTAAAAGATCATAAAGATACATTTTGTACAGGTTTCATTAATGTATCAAATGATTTGTTACGATAATTAGATAAAAATGCCTAATAAATACAAATGATTTACATTTACTATTAAAATAGAAAAAAAACGAGCGTATTTGTTTTAGGTAATAAAATATTACGTATTAATAATAAATCTAAATACATTTTAAATATTACCATTACTCCATTTGAAAATTTTGTGTGTTATTCATCCGATTTTGTTTTATATTTAGAAAGGGTTTGTTAATTTAAATTATTTAGAAAGAAAATCTCCGATTTAATATCAATTAAGTTAATTTAGTTTTCATTACATTACGGTGTGTGACAACTCGTCGATAAATAATTGCTTGACTGACACTTATACAGCGTAGCGTGGAACAATCAGGATGTATTTCTCATTAAACACCGAGGTAAAATTACAGAATCAATTGTCAGTTACACTGAACATATCCTTTCTAGCAATTTCTGACAAAATATTTCAATCAGGGTGACTTAATCAAAGCCATGGTTTGACAATAATGAGGACAATTATTTAAAGCGGTCTGTTTTGCGATATTTATGTTTTGCCGTTTCCTGTTAATTTCCCACATGCTATTTACAGACAAAGATATGCAAAGCACATGATGTTGATTCAATAGTAAGCTTCAAATATATCAAGTATGAAATGGCTTGTCTACTTTAATTTATATTATTCATCAATTTTCCCTCCTATCTTCAGATACAGTATGTGATATATGTATTTACCTACTTGTATACATGTATGGTTAACTGAAGGATCACAGTGGCAAAAAAGAAAGAAAAGGATTATCATTTACCGTTTATGATTAAAATTGTAATATGTAACTGACATGCCATGTCATAAATCATATATTATTATTATTATGTTAGTCTTTAAATACAGAATTAAGAACTATGGGCAATAGAATTGTTAAAAGAAAAATCAGAATCGGAGAATTTTGAAATTGTGATATTACATTTGGCATAAGACGTTGAATATATAGAGGATATTTGTTTGTTTTGCATGTAAGATTGAAATATAATTTCACTGAGTGAACACCAGATGCAATATTTTCACGAGTGGCGTAGCCACGAGTGAAAATATAATAGCTGGTGTTCACGAATGAAATTTATTTCAATCTTGTATGTAAAACAAATAAATGTTCTTTTTATTTCATGCTTTTTAAGTGATTTTTAGTATTTTTTTTACTGATTTTACCGCGTAACGTCGCGCATTCTCCTTTGTGACGTCATCACATCATGACGTCACATCATCAATTTTGAAATATAGTTCTTTTAAATTTCTCTAATTTTGTTACATTTTTAAAATGATGTATGGTGACATCGACTTTCTTTGCCTAAAGAAGCAAATTTTACGTGTGACGGCATTTATTTCTGCCTGTTATTCCATTTAGTTATGATTTTCTTTTCATCCGCATTAAGATATAGTCCGGCTACAGTGAAAATTATAATTTATAAATTTCACTGGTGGTTTATCAGAATATAATCATCTGATATATTACAATAAAACACTTGAAGGCATGAAATAAATTACAATAAAACACTGGAAAGCATGAAATAAAATAATATAATTCTTTAACAGTGTTAATTATTCTTTGACGGTATCAATAGAAACATTTTTTAAAAAGAATGTCAGTTAATGCCATTACGAGAGATTTGTTATACATAGATTTACATGTATTTGCATTGTGATAGCAATTGTATTTGCAATCAAAACTTCCTTTCTAAGCTAATATAAGATTGTAAATAATTATAACAATATCCCATTCTTATGCAAAAAATATATTTATAAGAAAAATAGGCCTAATAAAGGAAAGTTATAAATACGATTAAATCTGGGAAGAAATTATTACTTCTTTCATAAAACACAGCCATTTCCATGAAATAGATTAGCTGTAATGATCTTGCAGCCAATAAATTTTCTATAACTATAACCTGATTTGACTTTCGACAAATTTTCTTAACTAAAGATTCATTATGTATAGAAATATCTAGACAGCTTCCATATACTCATGTATGTTAACCTAAACAAGCTATCTGAAACATCAGAATCAACTGCATTAACTTCTTGAATTTCTAATATAAAGCAAAAGCTTACTGCGATATCAATATAAACTGATGAACCAATATGATATGCGATCATTTGGAAAATATATAGTCAACTGGACGTTTTACTGACAAGAAGAATAATGTATGTCTAAAAGATGTCGCGAAGCATGCGAATATGTTAATATGTTTATTCAATTTTGATCCGCCGGCTTGTTACTGAATTATTGTAACGCCGGGTTTGACACAGGCGGGTTTATGTTGACAAGATTTTCATGTTTTTTACGTGCAGTGCATCGGGAATGAAAGGAATAGTTCTTTTGTTTTGTTCAGTTAACTTTAATTGAGAAGTTATTATGTTAAAAATTAAATAAATTAAAGTTTAAAGAAGGAATAAAAGTTGTATTAATTCCAGGGTAGTAAAGATTTCTACGAAAGCACCTAAACATTAGAATTTTGATTAAAATAATCTATATAAAGATTTAAAGCCCAGAAAAATTAATCCTTTCTGTATTTTAAAGAATGTATAACACGTCAAAATCATTATTTCAATAGAAATGAAGAAATGAAATTGATCTGTGAGTACAAACTTCTACGCAGTGACCAGTACATTAATTACGAAGAGTACCCTATCCAGCAAAATCACTGTTAGATGATTTTGCTGTTAGTATGTAACCATGCACAGTAACCATTTAAATCAAAGATATTAAAAGATATAGGCCTAAAAGTCATTCCCGAAAAACTGGAGATACATTTTATGTGCTACATATTACGTAAGCTACATACAGTATAAAAAAATCCGCGAAAAGTTCCAAATTCCGATATTTTGATTAACTCGGTTAATTGTCAAAGAATATGCACTGAATGAAATGTTAAATACAGTAATCAAGGCGACCAATAAAAGTGTCTGCGCACATGGATATTAATGAAAATTTAAGAAAAATGTCAAAATCTAACAACTCCACAATGAAAAAAGAGCGAGGAACAACATTGACATTAGAGCAATATAATATTTTTGTGGCATTTCTTAAAGACTTTAATAAACCCAGTCGAAAAACTCTGAAAAATGCCGGTTTTGCTGGAAACTTGAGTGCGGACCAAGGTAAAACAAAGTCAAACATAGCAAAAGTGGCATATTCTCGCTTTAAATCTATAGCTAAGCGATTAACTTACAGGGAATATGACAACGAGTTGATTTTTAAGTCTAATTCTAAGATAGTTCTTCCATTGACTAGATATGAAGAAGCAATTATGGAAGCCCATAAGAGCCGAGGAAATAAACATTTGAACTTGACAAAGACCATTCAAAAGGTAAATATATGGCACAGGCACTTGGGTTTGTGGAGCGCAGAAAGCCTCAAAAATTAAATAAAATGTTTATCACATACACTTATCTATGGTGGCTGATTTGTGCCATTTGTATTTTCACTCTGCAACCCCGCCAAGCATAATGTCGAGAATTAACAAATTAAAATGGCAAGGACGCAGAGCGAAAAGTCATTAATTAGCGCTGGCGCGGGACAAAGTTTAAGAATATAAAACTTTGCCCTGTTGGGGCGCGCAGCAAAATTTAAGATATAAAAAGTTGGAGGCGTGGAGCAAAAACGCTAATTAGCGGGGGCACAGGGTGAAGTTTAATTGATAAAACTGCGCTCCCCGCCCCGCCCCGCTAATTAGCATGTTTTTGCCCCGCGGTCCTGTCAAGGGAAAAGTCGAGAATTTAAAAGTTAAAATGGCCCGGGGCGCAAATTGAAAACACGCCAATTACCTAGGGCGCTGATCACATCTTTTCGCTCTTTGATTAATTCTTAATCACACTCCGCAGCCCCGAGGGACAAAATTTTATTTATTTAACTTCGTCCCGCGCCCCTGCTAATTGGCGACTATTTGCTCCGGACCACAGGTATTTTAGCTTGTTAATTTTCGACTTTTCGCTTGGCGGGGTTGTGGAGCGAAAACACAAATGGCACAAATCAGCCACCAAGTTAATAAATGCTTTTTTGAAAAAGTTTGCACATGTACTTTCAATTGCTCAAAATCACCTTGCATTTTATTCCATTTTCAATATCACGGGGAAGGAAGTGTTACACGAAGGATGGAGTTCTTATGATAACTTGTTTTGAGTTCTTATGATAACTGTCACAGAGTTCCTTGAAAACGTTACGGATTTCTGTGGAAAACTTATCTATTTAAATGGAGAACGGTCAATTTTACCTTTAAATGGGGAGTTTGAGGTGCTTAATTAAACTTTGATAATTAAGCTTGCAATTGCCCTACATATTGTATAATAATGTTTCAGAAAAACCTTTTATTCCATTTTTCATCAACTTTTTTTTAAAAAAAAATCTGATAGTTTTGAGTAAAATTTCCAAATTACTTGCTCATTCGAACATATTGACCTTTTCATTTGTGATCTTCTTCGTTGCTATACATAATTACATAATTATAATGCAGTGTTGCAAACATAAAGATATATAGTAAAAAATTAAAAACAAAATTCTTTTAAAAAAACAAAATAGCTAGAGCTTAGATATAATGCATAAAACATTTTCTAGTGGGTGTCAACAATTTTTTTCAAATAAAAGCCCTTGGGTAAAAATTAGCCCCGCCCCTAGGGGTCATTGTTTTTCCCTTTATGTATATAGTAGAAAGTTAAAAAATCTTCTTTTTAAAACCCCAACGAGCTAGAGCTAAAATATTTAGCATGAAACATCTTCTAATGGGTGTCTACCAAGTTTGTTCAAATAAGGGCCCTTGGGTTAAAATTGGCCCGCCCAAGAGGTCATTGATTTTCCTTATATGTGTTGAGTAAAAACTTAAAAAATGAAAAAGCCAAAGAGCTAATATAGTTGAGATACCAAGCATATCTTCTAGTGAGTGTCTACCAAGTTTGTTAAAATAAAAGCCCTTGGGTCAAAATGGCCCATCCCAGGGGGGGGTCATTGTTTTTCCCAATATGTATATAGTAAAAACTTAAAAAATCTTCTTATAAAAACCCCAAAGAGCTAGAGCTTAGAAACATCTTCTAATGGGTGTCTACCAAGTTTGTTCAAATAAAAGCCCCAAGTTATAAAATTGGCCTTGGCCCAGGGGCCCATATACAGGTGAGCGATTTCTCTTGTTTTTGTTGTTGATTAATTATATAATTATCTTTGTTGAACCAGTAGAATTAATTGATAAAGATTGAAATGTTTCATTTAAAAAAAATATGTAATTTCTTTTATTTGAAAGCTAGGGGAAAAGTATACAATTGGCTGTAGGCAGTTTGGAATTACAGAAGAAAATGTTAGAATGGTTGTCAGGAAGTGTCGGGATGGTTCTTGTGCACAGAGAAACAAGACAGAGATCGAAGTTATGAAACAAATTGGTATTTAATTTTGTTGTATTTTAAAATATACTTTAAAGTTGCTTAAATTGTCAATGGAACTTGAGTTTGATTTCAGTGCTATCTAAGTATCCTGAAAGTGTGGCCTTGCCTTGTGTCTGTGAATGTCTGGTTGTGTCTGTGAATGTTGCCTTGCTCTGTTGATCTTTTTTTTTTTGCAGAATAATGTTACTTCAGTTTGAATTTTGATATTATTGATAAATATATATTATGTACTTTTAAATTTCTCCCCCATTCTTCTTTAAAGCAAATTCAGAAAATGAATCATCCTCTAAAACAAGCACCAATGTTGCCAATGAAACTAGTTCTACACAAGTCAATCAACATGATCAAAAAACAGCATCTGTCATTAAAGTACCACTCATTAACAGTATTCCTATGACAGTTGTCAAACTTCCCAATGGTACTTTCGGATTCCAGCCCAGTGTGAATGTGCCAGGATTTACATCTCTTAACCAATTACCACTGTTGGGGCCAAAAGCTTGTACAACTTCAAGTCAGTGCAAATGTCCAGCACTGTCAAAAGCTTTGAATTCAAGCTCTGGTACTGCTTTGACTTCAGTGGGAAATGTACCAAAAGTAGTACGGATGAATCTACCTATTTCATACACAAGAACCTCATCAGAAAATAAGCCCTTTACGTCTGTACAGATACCCCTGCAATTAATCACAGTAGGAGCACATCCATTGACACCTGGTCAACAGGTCTGTCTAGTAACAGCAGGTTCTAACATTGGCAATTTATTGAACACTGGTCATAGCAGTGAACAGCCCATTGATTTGAGTAAAGATTCCAAGATATCTGCTAATCAGGCAACAAGCACTGAAACTTCACAAGATGATTCAGGTATTGAAAACTCAGAACATGACTGCAAAGAAGATTTATCACTCCTGCAAGATGTATTGAGTAAGTCCTTTACAGCACCATATGCACCAGATCAGAATAATAATGAAACTTTATCTGATGGAGCAAACAGTGTAGGTAAAAATGATGGGAAAAGTAAGAAGCTTGTATCAGCTAAGCAGTCAGGAATGAGCCCTAGTCTGGATCAAGTTATCAGTGATGGTAGCTGTGGTAAGGATGTCATGGACCTAGAAAGAACTTCTGAAGGCAAGAAATATATATCGAAACGTTTTGATTTTTATGCCATATCATATGTCTTTATTTCTGTATAAAGAATATTTAATGTTATTTTTTTGTGTGTTTAAACATATATGATATATACATGTACAATTTTTTATATTTTTGTTCTTAATTTAAAGCATGACTCTTATGCCAAATTGATATATTTAATATAGACATCAAAAGCATGGTTTTATTCATTAATACCAAAAGACAAAAAATGTGTAGATTTGATTTAGAGAATTCAGAGTTATTTTAGGAATAATGTATATGCTAAATTAACCTATTTTACAGATCGAGAGCAGGGAGCATGTGTTGAATCTCAAAGACACAACAAGAGGTATTCTAAAACTCTAGGTCCATTACCCTATCCCAACATATGGTACTTCTATGAAGGTATTTGTTTACTGTTGAAATATATATATATACAGTGTAACTTCCGAAAACCGAACACCCATGGGACTTGTCAAAAAGTTTGGATTTCAGAGGTTTCCGGAATTCAGAGGTTTATGATTATGTGGACAAGACTAAGCCACTTAATAGTTAATATCACTAAATGTCAAGGAAGATGTGGCCATTACTGTAATATCATATATAATAGTCTTTTATCACTAAATGTCAAGGAAGATGTGGCCATTACTGTAATATCATATATAATAGTCTTTTAATCAAGATAAAGATGCGAATGAAAAGAATACATTTTTATCTTACACCTGCAAATGCTTTTGAATTTCTATCAGTTTGTAGAAATGTTGTTAATTGCATAAACTTACATATCGTCCGATGCTAGTTAATTAATTATTACATCAAATGCAATAAAATCCCTGAAGACGTTTGATGCATCCATTGTCCCAACTAATTGTGATTTAATCCGCTAATAAACACTTCAAATTAACTGACCACGGTAAATTACTTTGATTAACCGCACCACTTCAAACATACCATTTCACAGTTTGTGATTTTAACGCGTGTCAAATTACACGATCACCGCTAATTAGTATAATTAGTAAACAATCGATAGGGAGATTAAATCTTCCTGCAGGGTAAACATTCTCAATTTACAATGTATTTCACACCTTTGGATATTTCCGGTTTTCGGAGGTAAAATTGCATTGATTTGACTCTAATTTTACGAAAATATCGTCCGGAATTCAGAATTTAGAAGTTCCGGAATTCAGAAGTATTATATTAATAGAAAATAGAAGGGAAAAAATCGGGACCGAAAAAATTGTTCGGTTTTTAGAAGTTTCCGGATTTCAGAAGTTCCGGAATTCGGAAGTTACACTGTATAGATATCTTTTTCGGAAGAAATTTACCATGCAGTCTCAAACCTGTATGGCCATGTGACCAAGTACTGTTTACTATCAGTTCAAAAAATAATTGTTTTTGATTGAAATTCTTATAATACCTTAGCACAAAGCTTGGATCAAATGACCTCAGTAGTCCATGATGCTTCTGAATAAATAATAAAAATATCCTACCTTTTCTGTTACATTTTAATAGGATGAATATAACAATACTCTGGTTGCTTTGACTTTGGAACTGTCCTTCTGGCATAAAGCACCAGTTTGTGTGCTATAGTCTATTACTGGGGAACAGGCCAGTCATCACCAACCAGTTAGCGCAGTTATCATCTACTTCCACTAAATTTATTAGTCTGTTCATTACAAAAAAACTAGAAAAACATGTTAAGAAGTAATTTCAAATAAAACTGATTAGCTTATGATAAAAATGATTTGAAAACAAAAATAAAGAAAATTTTGTATTAACAGTAATGAAATTCAAACTATTTATGTTTAATTTTAGATTTATCAAAACAGAGTAATCCATATGAAAGGATATCAATGTGTATAAAGGACATGAGACTGGACTTAATGAGATCTATAGCTGGGAATGTTCAAGCCACAGAAAAAATGAAGAAAAGTAAGTCATGTCTATATTGATAATTTCACCAATAGTGAATTTTATTTTTGTTTCCATTACAATACTGGTTATTATCTTTTTGTTGCAAAAATGTCAAACCAATACTGGTCAGATGTGGCTGTTTTCCAGTTTAACTAGAGGAGAAGGGGCGTCTGTGGCAGAGTGGTTAAGGTCATTGACTTCAAGCCACTTGCCCCTCACAGCTGTGGGTTCAAATCCCACCAGGGACTTTGGATTCTTTCATGTGAGGAAGCTTAGTAACCTAGCTAGCTTACTGAACATCAGTGTAAGTTCGTGCCAGAAATAATGCACAAAAGGGCACCTGAGGTTTTTCTCCACCAGTAAAGCTGGAACATCATCATATGACCTATACTGTGTCGGTGTGACGTAAAACCCAATCAAACAAACTAGTGGAGAAAACCCACTCACAGGCATTTTCCTTTTATAAAACCATTCATGCCAATGAGGTAGCTCACATTTTAAATTCTTAAAGTTTCAGTTTTTTAAATTGTGTTTTCAGAGATGCATTACATCCAAGAACTGATCACAACACAGCAGTCAGTAACCCAGTATCTGGCAGACTTCTCCTCCCCCATGGATGTGAAATGAAAGAGATAGAGTTCTGTCTTTCAGTCTGACAAAATAGAAACTGTTAAAATCATACAAGCAGAAGATTGAGAATGAATGAAGAAGTTAATGTTCATATAATGTTCATATGAAAGACTTGTTGTTTAGTATTTCTAATGAGAGATTGTTCAATTACTTGTGCTTTACTTTTGATTCATCAAAATCTTATTTGTATTTAGAGAATTTTTTTATACTATGTTAAACCTTTTTCAAATTGGTTGTTTGGATTTTAATTAAATAGAAATTCACAGATATCATCCTTGCCCGGATATAAGTTTGTAAATATTTGTGTCCAAAAGTTTTTATCTGATTTTATTAGCTCGACTTTTTTTTTTTTGAAAAAAAAGTAGAGGTATTGTTATAGTCAGGTCGGCGTTGCCGTTGCCGTACCCGTTGCCGATGCCGTCCGAAAACTTGTACCTGGATCATAACTTTTTTATTTCTTGGTGTATTGTCTTCATACTTGGCCACAACAACCCTTGGGACAAGACCTTTCAGTAGACCACACTAACCTTGACCTTCATCCATAAATGACCTTGAACTTCAAGGTTAAAAGTCCAATTTTTGCTTGTTCATGCTGTTATTGGCTGTTACTTTGTTATTTTTGAATGGATTGTCTTCAAACTTGAACATAATAATCTTCAAGGATATCCCTTAAAAATTACCAGTCAGACCTTGACATTCACTCATCAATGACCTTGACTTTGAAGGTCAAATTATTGAAATTTTCATTTTTTTGGCTATTATTGGCTGTAACTTTGTTATTTTTGAATGGATTGTCTTCAAACTTGAACATAATAATCTTCAAAGATAACTGTTAAAAATATTCCGAAAGACCTTGACCTTCACTCATTAATGACATTGCCTTTGAAGGTAAAATTATTGAAATTTTCATTGTTTTGGCAGTAACTGACTGTAACTTTGCTATTTTTGAAGGGATAAACTTCATATTATAACAGAACATTCTTAAGGACCAGACCTTGTTGTTTATCAAACCCAAATTTGCTTGGGCTCTTTAATGACCTTGACCTTGAAGGTTATATTACTGAATTTTCTCAGATTGTGCATTTATTGGTGTGTGTGTATGTATAGTATATGTATTACATATATATATATATAAATGTGTGTGTGTATATATATACATATATGCAGGTATATATATATGCATGTATATATATATATATATATATATATATATCAAATATATATATATATATATATATATATACATATATATACATGTATATGTATACATGTATATATATCAAATATATATATATACATATATATACATGTATATATATATATATATATATATAATATATATATATATATATATATTTTGAATATATATGCATGTATATATATATACACACATATATATATATATATATAAATTGCGTCATTTTTTCTATTTTTAGAAATTGCGTCATTTTTTTTCTATTTTTAGAAATTGCGTCATTTTTTTCTATTTTTAGAAATTGCGTCATTTTTTTCTATTTTTAGAAATTGCGTCATTTTTTTTGCTATTTTTAGAAATTGCGTCATTTTTTTCTATTTTTAGAAATTGCGTCATTTTTTCTATTTTTAGAAATTGCGTCATTTTTTCCTATTTTTAGAAATTGCATCATTGTTTCTATTTTTAGAAATTGCGTCATTGTTGCTATTTTTAGAAATTGCATCATTTTTTTTCTATTTTTAGAAATTGCGTCATTTTTTTCTATTTTTAGAAATTGCGTCATTTTTTCTATTTTTAGAAATTGCGTCATTTTTTTCTATTTTTAGAAATTGCGTCATTGTTGCTATTTTTAGAAATTGCATCAATTTTTCTATTTTTAGAAATTGCATCATTGTTGCTATTTTTAGAAATTGCGTCATTTTTTTATTTTTAGAAATTATGTCATTTCTTTCTATTTTTAGAAATTGCGACATTTTTTCTATTTTTAGAAATTGCGTCATGTTGCTTTTTTAAGAAATTGCGTACTGTTGCTATTTTTAGAAATATGCTTAATGTTTCTATTCATATATATATACAAAATATATAAACAAAACTAATGTGACAAGACAGACCAACTAAATTTATAAAAAAGAAACGTCAATATATGTTCAAACCTTTCTATGTTTGCGTTTAGAAAAAGTAAAAAGTCGAGCGTTGCCCCCGCCCGGCGGTGGCTCTTGTTATATTATATAATATTTCTAGCAGAAAATTGCCCCCATGCTATATATAACTATCTTAGGTAAGTCTCTACAATGTGCTTTAATTGTTCTAAAAATAGTGATTTGTTCCATAACATGGCCTCTTTGATTTTTAAAATTTCAAAATTATACTAATATGTTTCTATGGTTATATATAATTTCAATACTATGATCTTTGTTTTTATTTTATAATAATGAAGATTCAGGATGAACTTATATAAGTATTGGCTAAAGTGACTTTACTTCATTTGCTATGTAATTTTTCATGTCACCTAACCTGCAAATTGTTCAAATAATTTGATTAACCCATATCAGGGACCTTCACAGAGATAGATTATTCTTTGAACAACTATTTTGTGAACTTATTGATCATTCAATACTATAAATATATTACATACTTTTATCACTATCTACTGTTAACACATAAACTGCAAATGGTGTTTAGAAAAAAAAATGCCATTGAATTATAATTATTTTATTAAGAGGCAATTATGTTACTTTGTTCAGGTGAGTGATGCAGGACGTGATGGCTGTCTTGTATATAAAGTAGTTTTCTTACATGGATGTTAGGATTTAGTTTTGTTGTCAGGAGATAAATTGTGCTACTTTTTCTTAGAATGATAATTTTATTTATATGAATCTTGAATGGTATATTAACCAAACACAGGTTCTGTTATTGTTTTCTTATTTATTTGTTTTTAAAATTGCTGTTAATGTTTCTTGATATCAAAATGAACATTTCTTTTTATTTTTTTATGATTTTGTTTTCTTAGTTAATGTTTTATAATTATTGTTAATGTATACTTTTTAAAAGTAGGAAATATATAACAAAAATTCTGTTATGTGTTGTTTAATGACTGTTGGTGTTTTATTATTGTGATGTTTTATTATTGTGTTACAAGCTTGATAGATAACAGAGCTCTAATGTTAAAGCTGTAAAGATTGAAGATTTAACCATGATTGTTTCAAATAAGGTTTTCTCTCTAAAATTTTATGAATTTTTTTGGTGTTTTATCATATTTAATGTGTAACTTGCATGAGGGATCTTCATTAAGTTCTGAGTGCCCTTATCCCAGGGGTTGCTAGGTGTAAAGAAAAAAAAGCCTTAAAAAGTCACAAAAATTGTGTGTCATACAATTATGTAGGCAACATGCTCTGATACACATTCACCAAATTAGTTCAAATCATAGCCCTAGGGTCAACTAGTCTACATAGACTTGTTAAAAATGCTTAAAAAGGCCTCTTCAGAAACAACAAAGCTTTTGTAACTAGTATCTTAGAAATTTGGTGTTTATGTTAAGACCAAGAGTATAAATTCTTCTTAATATTCAATAGCTTTTATTTACTGACTTATTTCTATTTATTTAGGCCACCAAGGCTAGAAATAGATTTTCATATTGTTCTCATTATTTATTGACTAAAATGTTTGGTAAGTTAAGATATCTTGAATGGACCTTTTCATTTGTGCCAGGTTTGAGGTAACTTGGTTATTATAGCCACTTAATCTACTGTAGATTTTTTTCAGCTTTCCCTAAAGTGCCTTTCATTCAATGAGAAATAAAAGGGCCACAGTTGGTTAAATTATATAAAAGTTAACATAATTAAGAAAATTTGTTAGTTATGTTGTTGTTTAGCTTTATTTTATTTATGTTCATGTTGCTCTCATGACATGATGGCAAGCATAATATCAAGCTTTCTTATTTCTAGCCTTATCTTATTCACTATAAACTGCTGTTCATGTTTTTGTTTTGTTTCTTGAAATAAAAAAATCCTATTGATATGTTCTTCACTCATGTGTGATTTTGTTTCTTGCAGGAAATATAAGGCTTTTATGGTTGAGGAAATAACCAAAACAAATTGAAAGTTTGTCATGTTAAATAAGAAGTTTGTGTCAGGTCAGTTTCCTGTCCCTTGTTAGAACATGTTTCAGACCAATATAATTGAAAGTTTCTTTTTGATTCCTCCAACAATTTTAATGCAGGGCATCATATATTGCCCCACCTTTGCACAGTGCTCTTAACAAGGCTTTGTGACTATTTTTGACAGTTTATTTGGGATTTTATTCAAGTTTTTACAGATCTTATTGCTTGTAAGTGCCCTTGCACATATTTAGGAGGTTTTGTGATTTAATAACTTGGGGGAATTATGGTTTATATATATAAAGTGATGATAACCTACAAGTATTATTATTGGTTGCAAATCTGGTTTTATGATAGTTCCTGTTCCTTTTCCGGAATTGAAATGTTCAATTTCAGCACTTTTGGTCTGCAAATTCACAGAAAAATATCACCTGGCTGTAGGATTAAATTTTCTGCTCGTTAAAATTTGGTCAGACTTGCCTAGATTTAAATATACAGTAATACTTATTGTCCTAGTATTAAGTAGAAATTGTCATATTTTAAATACTTAATAAGTCATTTTAAGATAGATGTGCAGGCAGACCTAGCTCTACTTGTTCGTTTGTGTCATCACAGGAACTCAAAATTCTATCAACCAATATTAAGGATAAAGTAAAAAAGATACAGTGTTTGTTTATATTATATAGGGGGTCTTTTTTTTTTTGATATTATTGTGGTGGTGTCATATAGGCTACAAGACTTTAGAGAATTAAAATATATTGTTGGTATAACATACAGTGCCTATATTTTTCTGTAAGAAAATGATTTTATGAATCAAGCTTGCACAATGATATGAGCCGCGTCACGACAAAACCAACATAGTGGGTTTGCGACCAGCCTGGATCCAGACCAGCCTGCGCATCCGCGCAGTCTGATCAGGATCCATGCTGTTCGCTTACCAATTCTATTACAAGTAAAGAAACTGATAGCGAACAGCATGGGTCCTGATCAGACTGCGCGGATGCGCATATTGGTCGCAAACGCACTATGTTGATTTTGTCGTGTACACGGCTCATATATGTTTGGCATTTAAAGTCACATCAGAACTTGGGTACCCAATGGAGAAAGAGCCCTGATGACTTAATGCATTATTCAGGTTGGAATTAACATTGTGACTTTCCCGCTTTATTGGTGGAGGAAGAACTTGGGTGCCCCTCTGTACATTATTTCTGGCCATACGGGCACCCTAGTAGAACCTCTGACCTACTTGTACATGAGCTTGGTAGCTTCATTACACAAAAGTCCCTAGAAAATCTGGAACCATAGCATTAAATGCAAGAAAACTTGACAAGCATTGAGATACAATATAATATCAATTAAAAATCTTTCGATTATGATTTGTTTTATTGAGCACTTTTTACATGATATACAATACAATTTATTAACAATAGTACAACATAACAATTGTAAAATAATTTCTTCCTGACTTCATAAACATGTCTATAACATTAATTTACATCATATTTACTTAATTTACTCAGATGTTTAAGAAACAACAAGGAACATCGCAATGCGATGCAACCAGGTTTTCAGCAAAATATTTCACAGAAGCTTTGTCATGAAGGGGCATTTGTTTTTAATTGAACTTTTAGGAGGAATTATGGCTTTTTTAATATTCCTCAAACAAAAATGATTGAGAAATTTTATGTTGTCTATTCGCCTTTTTTTCCCAAATGTTTTAGAAAGGTAAACAGTACTTTATTTTTGCTTAATTTTTGCGTCTCTTGTCATTTTCTTTTGTCAACAATATTGGCGTGTGGTGTTTTGTGCGATATCAAGTAAAGTATGTTCACAATTTTAAAAAAATACTTGAATGATGTCTTGGAAGAAACATGGGAATTTAGTGAGCGCCAGGGCACTTGATGACAAAGCTTCTGTGAAAGTTTGGTCAAAATCCATTGAGAAATGTAGGAGAAGTTGCGCACTGTAGAAATTGTTCACTATATATTCTGTATAAGGAAAAAATATACAAAGGGCCATAATTCGGTCAAATATTATCCAATCACAAAACCCCGACAATATGTGCCAGGTACTTGAAAACAAAGCTTCTAAGAAAGTTTGTCAAAATCCGTTGAAAAATGTAGGAGGAGTTGAGCACAGAAGAAATTGTTCTCTATATATTCTGTATAAAAAAAAAATATACAAAGGGCCATAATTCGGTCAAATATTATCCAATCACAAAACCCCGACAATATGTGCCAGGCACTTGATAACAAAGCTTCTAAGAAAGTTTGGTCAAAATTCGTTGAGAAATGTATGAGGAGTTGCGCACAGAAGAAATTGTTCACTATATATTCTATATAAGGAAAAAAAACAAAGGGCCATAATTAGGTCAAATATATACCAATCGCAAAACCCTGGCAATATGTGTCAGGGCACTTGATGACAAAGCTTCTGAGAAAGTTAGGTCAAAATCCGTTGAGAAATGTAGGAGGAGTTGCGCACAGAAGAAATTGTTCACTATATATTTTATATAAGGAAAAAAAACAAAGGGCCATAATTAGGTCAAATATTATCTAATCGCAAAAACCCTGGCAATATGCGCCAGGGCACTTGATGACAAAGCTTCTGTGAAAGTTTGGTCAAAATCCGTTGAGAAATGTAGGAGGAGTTGCGCACAGAAGAATTTGTTCACTATATATTCTATATAAGGAAAAAAAATAAAGGGCCATAATTAGGTCAAATATATACCAATCGCAAAACCCTGGCAATATGTGTCAGGGCACTTGATGACAAAGCTTCTGAGAAAGTTTGGTCAAAATCCGTTGAGAAATGTAGGAGATGTTGCGCACAGAAGAAATTGTTCACTATATATTCTATATAAGGAAAAAAAATAAAGGGCCATAATTAGGTCAAATATATACCAATCGCAAAACCCTGGCAATATGTGTCAGGGCACTTGATGACAAAGCTTCTGAGAAAGTTTGGTCAAAATCCGTTGAGAAATGTAGGAGGAGTTGCGCACAGAAGAAATTGTTCACTATATATTTTATATAAGGAAAAAAAACAAAGGGCCATAATTAGGTCAAATATTATCTAATCGCAAAACCCCGACAATATGCGCCAGGGCACTTGATGACAAAGCTTCTGTGAAAGTTTGGTCAAAATCCGTTGAGAAATGTAGGAGGAGTTGCGCACAGAAGAAATTGTTTACGCCGCCAATATAAGGGAAAAAAACAAAGGGCCATAATTAGGTCAAATATTATCTAATCGCAAAACCCCGACAATATGTGTCAGGGCACTTGATGACAAAGCTTCTGAGAAAGTTTGGTCAAAATCCGTTGAGAAATGTAGGAGGAGTTGCGCACAGAAGAAATTGTTCACTATATATTTTATATAAGGAAAAAAAACAAAGGGCCATAATTAGGTCAAATATTATCTAATCGCAAAACCCTGGCAATATGCGCCAGGGCACTTGATGACAAAGCTTCTGTGAAAGTTTGGTCAAAATCCGTTGAGAAATGTAGGAGGAGTTGCGCACAGAAGAAATTGTTCACTATATATTCTATATAAGGAAAAAAAACAAAGGGCCATAATTAGGTCAAATATATACCAATCGCAAACCCTGGCAATATGTGTCAGGGCACTTGATGACAAAGCTTCTGAGAAAGTTTGGTCAAAAATCCGTTGAGAAATGTAGGAGGAGTTGCGCACAGAAGAAATTGTTCACTATATATTTTATATAAGGAAAAAAAACAAAGGGCCATAATTAGGTCAAATATTATCTAATCGCAAAACCCCGACAATATGCGCCAGGGCACTTGATGACAAAGCTTCTGTGAAAGTTTGGTCAAAATCCGTTGAGAAATGTAGGAGGAGTTGCGCCAGAAGAAATTGTTTACGCCCGCCCGCCCGCCCCGTCCGCCCGCCGACATACCTCAATCTAATAAGCCAGTTTTTTCCTTCGGAAAACCTGGTTAAAAATGTTGTATACAATTCATGCACAAAATACCATTCTGAAAACGACAATCTACCAAGTTTGCCATAAAGAAGAGGCAATGTCTGCAAGATTATTTTATATAGAGATTCAATTAACAAAATTAATACCAATTCAAAGGATTTGTATGCACATTTTTCTATTGCCACATACAAATAATTTGACTAGATTTAAAAATGGTTCTTATTGAGTGAAAAACATTATTTTCATCAGATTTAACTTGCCTATATTTTTATCAACATAAAATACAGTATCATATAATCAATTGTAAGAATTTCTCTATTATAAATAAGGGAAGGGAGAGAAATGTAGCAGATATCCACTACAACAGACTTGTCCTAAATTAACTCCCTTCACACTCACCAACCAACAATAGCATGCAATATTCTTGGGAACCCAATATTTTAGCTCTATTTCTTTCCTCTTCCCTTGTATATATGTAATAAAGTTTTTGGCATTTTAATAATATGAAAAGGAATGCAAACCAGTCAAAAAAAAAACCCTTGTCTGAAATGAAAAACAAAAATTATTACAATATGAAGTAATTTATTGCATAGAAGTTCTAAAGTTTATTTTTGACAAAGTGTGTTTCATTCAGCTAAACCTAGAGTAAATTTGGTCAATATTGTCATCTATGAGAGTTCCCGGAACAAAGAGGTACCAACATCCCTTTGATATCTTAAAGGAACTCCACTGAAGTCAAAAAGCCTAAACTATAAAACTCAAATTTCTGACATAGATCAGCTGAGGCACTTAAAACATAGTGATATACAAAAGATATTTGAGAAATACACTTGGAAATAAATTAAAAATCGTATTTTATGCTATTGAGTGAAAATTTAAGGCCATTTTTATGGATAAAGAATAATTTATCTGAAATATCAGAGTGAGTGAATGATCTGAAATTTTGCACACAAGTTATTTGTCTGGTCCTACAACAAATGGAATATTTTTCTCGAAAATGTATTTCAAGTCCCATCATGTCAAAAAAAAACCTCAGTGGAGCCCCTTTAATAGTTAGTTTCCTTTAATTTTTAAAATGATTAAGTTTACTGGGAATTTTTTTAATTACAAGACCACAAGCTTTTATGCAACAATATAGAGGGAAAAATATTTCATTCTTATATTTCCTTATTTACATTGTTGTAAGCACCATCCAGGAAACAAAACCTTAAACACTCACTGGAAGACTATTTCACTCTATAAAGTAAAATAAACTCCTCAATGATAAGCAATTATCATAATGAAATATGTCAATGATTTGTATCTGTCAATATTCAATGAAAATTATTGGTATAACTGTTATTATGAAAATGTATTTATTATTATTGGTATGCGAGTATGAAATATATAAAGGGTTCTTAAAGCATGTTAGAATTAAAACATAATGAAATAATTAATGTGGGTTATATTGTTGTCCCTGCCATGGACTTTAAAAACAACTTACACCATTATAAATCATCAGTAACAAGTTAACCTTTGAAAAATCAAGCAGCCCTGCTATTTTTTGCTCCTATAGAATATTTTGTTAGTGAATACCAGTGTCACTTTTTGTTAAAACATATATGGTATATAGCCAATTATAGTTTTAATTTACATGTAACTGTATATAGCACATAACTTTAGAAATTAAGGTTTCCCCTGCCGTCTGACTTGTGTTTCATACAATTTTTTTCTAACAATATGGTAAAAGTGAAATAAAAGTACTATCTGACAATCCAAAATTTACCTTTGCTTCAGGATGTAAATGATGCTAAACAATATATCTATACACATTTATTCTAATAAACTGGAATAGTTTGACAGTATTTGTTCCCATGTTGTGATATGTCTCTAATCGCCTGATATGTCAGACTGGACTTGGTGTTTGTTTGACTGTGATAACCTTGATCAAAATAAAAATGTACGTAAAAACAAAATAAATTACAATCAAAGCAACAAAGCATATAAAAACCCTTACACCACTTCCTATGTTACCATTCATTGTCAGTGAGAAACCTTACACCATTTCAGATTAACCAAGCTTGTTACACATGCCTGAAGCACGAAAGAAGCCAAATGTACAAAATTATCCCACATCCATGCTCATTTATAATTTGAACAGATCTGATCTCAATATATTTTGTACATATTTTTTCTTAGAGATTGTATAAGTTCATTATTTGAACAAGGCAAAAAATTGAACCATATCATTATTGTATGCAATACTCCTCTTTTTGCAGTATTTCTTACATTTTCACATTTCAACCATATTCACTTAGTTTCAACACAAAAAGAGCATCATGTAGAACATAAAAACTTGATTCCAGGTCTCCCTCGCATAAATATGGCACCCGAGAAAACTTGACAAGCTCAAAACCAGCTGGTTCAAATACATCTTTTACAAAACTTGTTGACTGTTCCTCAAATGTTCTACCCATAACCATTATCTCTTCTGTTGGCATATTGTCAGATGGTCCTAAAATATAATCATTTTAAAATAACTTTTTTTGTTCTTCAAAATAATGATAATCTTTTTGCAATTTTGCAAAAAAAACAACATGATTTTCTTTATGTTTATTTATAACAAACTGAATACTTTCAAGTTAAATTATAAGACAACTCTTACTATTTTATGTCTTTACAGACATGCTAAAACAGTATATCTGTCATTGTCCATTAATCCTGATAGTAATCATAGAATACAAGAGAAATGTAAGTGAACAAACTTAAAAGAAATTGAAATAATTGCCCTTTAAAAAGGTGGACATACATGTAAGTATATTATTTAATGATAAATGACACTGTAGGGATTTCACTTGCTGCATCAGTTTGTGACTATTTACACTTACTTACAGTGACAACAAAGAAAGCACTAAGTACATATCTAGGGAAGAAAGAAAAGTTTTAACAACTTTCTGACATACAATATCAGATTACTTAAGTGGCAAATGGCACACCCTTCTTGTGAGATTTTTGCCAAAACAAATTATATTTAACTTTCAATAAGGTATAATAGAAGCATTTTGTTCAAACTGCATCATGTCAACAAAATACAGTATCTATGATTTACAGCCATTAACAGTTTACAGAAATATTATAAAGCATATATATTTCCTACAATATACTGTAAATACAAATGTAGATTACCAAATTCCACATAGGGTTTAAACGGCAGAACTGCAGCTACAATAACTCGGCCTCCTGGCTTTAAAACTTTCTTAATGGAATGTAAAATACTGAGTGGTTTATCACAGCGGTCTAGGAGATTCAAACATGCAACCAGGTCAAACGTCAGTGATCCATCATCCCAGGAATCAACATCTAGAACACTGTAAAAGATAAGGTACATTTAAAACCCATCTTTTGATAAAAAAAAAATCATAATTAATAGTTATACCCCTAAAACAAAATTCAATACAACTTCATACAATGATCAAGCACATTGACAGGAAGTGCAGTGCACAAGAACTATAACTCCATCTAAAGTAATTACAGAGTTATTGCCCTTTGTTACTTTTCCAGTGCTTTCTTTTGTCCGGACCATAACTTGAAGACTAATGGTTGAAATTCAATATAACTTCATACAATGGTCAAACACATTAAAAGGAAGTGCAGTGCACAAGAACCATAACTCCATCTTCACTAATTACAGAGTTATTACCCTTTGTTTCTTTTCCTTGTCCAGAGCATAACTTGAAAACTACTGGTTGGAATACAATGGTCAAGCACAATAAGAGGAAGTGCAGTGCACAAGAACCATAACTCTGTCCAGAGTAATTATAGAGTTATTGCCCTTTGTTCCTTTTCCTTGTCAGGTGCATAACTTAAAAACTAATGTTTAGAATTCAATGAAACTTCATTTAATGGTCAAGTGCAATGAGAGGAAGTGCAGTGCTCAAGAAGCATAACTCTTTTTGGACTTATTACAGAGTTATTCAATAAAACTTCATCAATGGTCAACCACATTGAAAGGAAATGCAACATACAAGAACCACAACTATCTTTAATTGCCCACAACCATAACTCTATTTCAGTTCTTTTGCAAGGTATTCTGTTACTAGTAACTTCCTCATTACCGAAGCAGACTTGCGGGGATATTAATTACATTTAGTGATAGTTCAAGTTGATTTAGTTTTATAAAGTCTTTAGGCAAGATCAAAAATTGACATTATGATTAAATGTTTTTAATTCTCCCTACTGCAAAATCTAACACATTTGACATACCCGTATCCTTTGTCAGTCAGCCTTCTAACCATAGGTTTCGAAGTTTCTGTGGCATAAGTTTGATGGAAATAAGGTGCCATCATTTTTGTAACCTCACCATCCCCTGCACCTAAAATAATACCACTATCATCATGAAAACAAGATATGTTTGTAAAACATGTATGCCCCTATCGGCAGCCAATTTGTCATGTGATCAGGTTATTATGCATGACTTCTGACCCAGTGAACAAGCAATTAATAAGGGTTATCTAGTATCTACTGGTCATGACTAGTCACAAGGTAATAATTATTGTGACCCCATAGGTTGTGTGCAGCAATTAAAGTTATTAAAAATCTTACCAAATAATATTAAAGTTATTAAAAATCTTACCAAATAATATATACATAAATTTTATGAATCACATAGGCCTCATTAATGACAGCCAAGTTGTTATATTACATAAGACCTTCAAATGTGTATACCAAAAGCACATAAAAATATCAACCAATGCAACTTGAGTTGTTGAGTTATTGGTCAGAAACGGTCATTAAGTACAAGGTCACTATGACATTGACCCCAAAATCAATAGGGGTCATCTGCTGGTCATGACCAATCATCATACCAAGTTTGAAGTTCCTAGGACTAAGGGTTCTTTAGTTATTGATCGGAAACCGTTTTTACCTACAAGGTCAATGTGACCTTGACCTTTGACCCCAAAATCAATAGGGGTCATCTGCTGGTCATGACCAATCATCATACCAAGTTTGAAGTTCCTAGGCCTAAGCGTTCTTTAGTTATTGATCGGAAACCGTTTTTACCTAAAAGGTCAATGTGACCTTGACCTTTGACCCCTTGACCCAAAAATCAATAGGGTTCATCTGCTGGTCATGACCAATCACCATACCAAGTTTGAAGTTCCTAGGCCTAAGCGTTCTTTATTTATTGATCGGAAACCGTTTTCACCTACAAGGTCAATGTGACCTTTGACCCCTTGACCCCAAAATCAATAGGGGTCATCTGATGGTCATGACCAATCATCATACCAAGTTTGAAGTACCTAGGCCTAAGCGTTCTTTAGTTATTGATTGGAAACCGTTTTTACCTAACAGGTCAATGTGACCTTGACCTTTGACCCCTTGACCCCAAAATCAATAGGGTTTGTCTGCTGGTCATGACCAATCACCATACCAAGTTTGAAGTTCCTAGGCCTATGGGTTTTTTAGTTATTGATCGGAAACTGTTTTTACCTACAAGGTCAATGTGACCTTGACCTTTGACCCCTTGACCCCAAAATCAATAGGGGTCATCTGATGGTCATGACTAATCATGATACCAAGTTTGAAGTACCTAGGCCTAAGTGTTCTTTATTTATTGATCGGAAACCGTTTTCACCTACAAGGTCAATGTGACCTTGACCTTTGACCCCAAAATCAATAGGGGTCATCTGATGGTCATGACCAATCATCATACCAAGTTTGAAGTTCCTAGGCCTAAGCGTTCTTTAGTAATTGATCAGAAACCGTTTTTACCTAAAAGGTCAATGTGACCTTGACCTTTGACCCCTTGACCCAAAAATCAATAGGGTTCATCTGCTGGTCATGACCAATCACCATACCAAGTTTGAAGTTCCTAGGCCTATGGGTTCTTTAGTTATTGATCGGAAACTGTTTTTACCTACATGGTCAATGTGACCTTGACCTTTGACCCCTTGACCCCAAAATCAATAGGGGTCATCGGCTGGTCATGACCAATCACCATATCAAGTTTGAAGTTCCTAGGCCTAAGCGTTCTTTAGTTATTGATCGGAAACCGTTTTAACATACAAGGTCAATGTGACCTTGAACTTTGACCCCTTGACCCCAAAATCAATAGGGGTCATCTACTGGTTATGACCAATCACCATACCAAGTTTGAAGAGTCTAGGCCTAAGGGTTCTTTAGTTATCACTCGGACACCATTTGGTCTACGGACCGACGGACCGACAAGTGCAAAGCAATATACACCCTCTTCTTCGAAGTGGGGGCATAATTACATTATCAACAACATTTTCATATATCTCCTGCAATTATTTTCTACTATTACTTTGTGTTGGTAGAATTGTTGTAATAATGTAAATGTTATAATGTTGCTTTACAATGTACATAAATATATTCTTGCAGACAGTGCCCTCTATTCATATAGATATAAAATCCCTAAATAACCCCTTTCTTGAAAAGCAAGTCAATAATGAAAAGTGCTGTATAAAATGCAAAGACTAGTTCTAAAGTGTTTTCATTGATTTTTTTCACTCAAATATTCAAATATATGCAATCATGTATCACATACCTAGGTCTAACAGATTTTCTCCTTTCCAATCTACATCAATGTCCATTAACTGCATAAACTGTTGCCTAGAAAATACAAACATCGACCCTCTGCCTAGCCAACTGAAACAAAAATATCATTTTAAATGAATCTTGACAAGACATAACCATCAAGCAAACAAAATTTTTCTTCTATCTACCATTAATCACTTGGCCTAAAAGCACTAATATAGATTGACTGAGTAAACAAAGAAATACATGTATACAGTAATTTTCAAACATCCACGCTATATCTGACATCATGACTATAACTTATAACTTTTATGCCTGCCAAACAATGCATAGATCCCCGACGTGTCTAGTTCTAATCAATTATCATATTATTGGATACAAAAAGAATTTCACCACAATGTGTTTGTAAACAAAAGAGCACATGTCAATATTTGTGGTTAAATCTCTCTTGTTATTCAAATAAAAGGTCAAAGTAGGGATCATCAATCAACTAATTTGAAGAATTTTTGAAAAAATCCCACCTAAAACTTATGTTACAAGTGTCAGCTTAAAAAGAAAAGTACAATGACAGAAAGAATTATATATTAAAGATTTAACATTTTAATATATAAAATAAATTACCCATTTATAGAGGTGTTTTCCATAAACCAGCTAAGTAAAGACTTGGCAATAGAGTGGTAAATCTGCATGAACACCCAGTCTGACTTCTCATAACAATTCTCGAGGAAATCACTAGTTTCACTGTCCTGGTCTAACTGTAGAAAACTGTCACACAGATCAGCTGGTAAACTTGAGCGCTTTACAAAATACCACTGAAATAAAATGTTTTACCTATAAACCCCTTTTTACATTTCATTTTTTTTTTAAATAATCTTTTGGTTTTAAACTTTGTCTGTTGGACAACCTTCTAGGTTACTTCTTTTCATTACTTAAGTAGCGGTAACACTATTTATGTAAATAGAGAAAACAATTACCAACCATACTGATAACAGCTTTCTGCAGATTTTCATGTATTATGTATTAGCAGAATAGGGCAGGTCAAGATTTTTCAAAAGCTGTATTTGCAAAATTAAAGCTTGCATAAACATCCATTGATTTTGCATTAGTAAAAAGATGCAAAAATACAGTTCACTGAAATGTCTCTGTCTTTCCACATGTTTTAGTTTTACGTTGTAAATACATGCTTGCAGTGCAGTCAGCAAATTATGACGTCATACGAGGTCGTTTTCACCAATTATTAGGTCAAAACAGAAATGGCGTCAAAATAGATGAGCGTCAAAACACATGACCGGACGATAACATTATAATATAAAGATACAGGTGTAGTTATAACATTAAGATATAAGTATATTTTAACATAAAGATACAGGTATATATATATCAAATAAAGATACATACATAGCTGTGGTTGTCATGTCTGTGATTTTCATCTTCAAGCACACGGTTATATATAGTTCGTGCCAGACTCCCTCTTCCCACTCTACTCGAGAAGCCATACATTACTTTTGTACCTTCACTACTGGAGATCAAGGCAATAACTGAATGTATGAAAAATTAACATACATACAGACATAAAGGAGATGCATACTTAAGTGTATTAATATTTAAGTGTAAAATGTATGTATTAAAGGTCAGCAGCTGTTACAAATGTTTGTCCCTACAGTCTATTATATAATATAATCTTTTGTTGACAGCTACAGAATTAAATCTTTGTATTAAAATGTGTAAACACAATAATTTTAGAACAGTACATATAACATGCACACATTAATAATCATGTTGGTAAAAATTACATAAAAACTATGAAGGAAATACCAGTGCATGACTCGAGATTATGTTGACTTTACATGAGGTCGAATTTACTTGGGGACGAATCATTTCTATACAACAGGTTTACCTGAAACAATGATCAATGTTAGCATAGATATTCTCTCTTATTGTTGTCAGTATAAACAAATGATAGATGCCAAACATATAGACGTTCTTAAAATCTTTTGTTACACTGAATCATTTTTGGCAGACAATTCGTTGTAAAAATAATTTCCTCCAGGTTTCCACGAAAATTAGTCGGCCATAATTTTGGTTGGTAGTCAGACTATTCTCTCCCTTACCAGTTCCTCCCCTGACGTTTCCTCCCTGACGGTTCTCTCCCTATTTTGGGGGAGAACTGTCTGCAAATTTGCAAATTAGAAGACAGTTCCTCCCCATTCTTATTTTTATGATTACATTATTATTAAAGTATTTAGATGATAAATAAATGGGTAAGTTTATTATGAATTGATATAAATTAGAAAAAAAAAGGATTTTATTGAAGTGTTTAGATGTTAAATAAATGGGTAGGTTTATTATAAATTGATATTAATTAGAGAGAAAAATACTGGTCGGGGACCATCAACCGGACACTTTTTGAACATTTTTCCGTACAGATTTTATAATTTTTAACATAGAGACCTAAAAATTTGACACAGTTCAGCTAGGTTCTTCTCCTAACTAACAAGCTAGTTTGTTTATTTCTGATTACATTGACACTTATATCTGAGGCTTACAAGGAGGGTATCAAAATTACCTAAATTGTCTACACTACAGTACCATGTGTCCGGACAGATATGTACATAACATGATTTAATTCAGATAGAAGCTTGGGTGTTTTGATTTGTGATTTTCAACATGATAAACAATATTTCAGCAGCACATGCTGAAGTTTTTGATATTCTATTGTTTACTCGCAAATGATTATAGCTGGTATATGAGGTCAGGCATTGCTTGCTTGACCCCCAAATTTCAACGTCAACATTTTTGAAATAGACATTGAAATATTACCATTTAAGGAGGTTGAAACAAAATTATTTATTTAATTATAGAAGAAACATGCATTTATTTTTGATAAAAAAAGTGACTGACAACCACAAAACAAAGAAAATACTAAATTAAGCATTTTAGGGGCCGTCCGGGTTTGGTGGTTGTCCGGTTTTGGTGGTCCCCAACCAGTACTTTAATGAAGTATTCTGATGTTTAATTCAAATTCAATTTTGTTAGCATCATCAGCAACAATAAATTGGTAAGTTTACTATCAAAAATTAATATGAATCTGAGAAAAAATATTTTATTGAAGTATTTAGATGTTAAAATAAATTTGTAACTTTATTATCAATTGATATAAATTGAATTAGAAATTATTTTTTTTTAACACATAATAATAATTGATCAATGATGATATTAGTTAATTATTCTGATTTTTTAATTAGATGTAATGTATACTTTTTAATGTGTTTAGTCATTGAAAATAATTAATGAATAATTTACTTGATTAGAATAATCATAAGATTTTTTTTTTCTATTTTTTTTTTTAATAAATAAAAATGAAATTTATAGGCAAAAAATGATGAATAAACTCTAATGAAAAAAGGAGTTCAATACACACATGAATGCATTTAAGTTTGCTGTCAGTGATAATTGAGGTGTTTATTAATTCCTTACTCAAGAATGAAGGTGTTGATTAGATTAAAATAGCTGTGAAAAGATGTTGATGAATAAGTATTATATTATAAGTTATTTGGTATAATATATTGTTTCAAGTTAATGACTACATGTTTTTAAATCAATTTTCGTAAAAAAGTAAATGTGGAATGTGTTTGCATACCAGTTGTTGTTTATTTATTTTCTAGAACATACTTGTTTCCACCTTATTCACTAATTAACGAATGAATGGACATCACAAGCTAGACCTTAACATAATTCAAGGTGTATATCAATGATCAGTATCTCTCACAATAAAGGTGTTGATAGGATTAAAATAATGAAAAAAGGTGTTAAATTTACAAATACTTTTCAGCTGATAAACATAAAATGCAGTTAATATCAAACACATTCTTTTAAAAATCTTCATTAAGATTAGATTAAGTCAAAACTAAAAAAATAAATTATAAAAATAAAATTGGGGGAGAACTGTCTGCATATTTCAAATTTGGGAGAGAACCGTCAGGGGAGGAAACGGTTAGGGAGAGAACCGTCAGGGAGAGGAACTTGTAAGGGAGAGAATAGTCTGTCATTCATTTTGGTTTCATACCACTAAAATTCTAAAACTGCACATAGCGGTTACTTCCCTTACTGGCAAAAGAAAAAATATGAATAGGGAATACTCATATAATTATTATTATTATTTTTAGATTCTATTATTATTATTACTATTATTATTATCGATATTTTCCTACTTTATGTCGAGAAATTTATTGCAAAAATAATATTTAATGAATATCAGATTTATACATCTACATCTACATTGTACGTCGGCGCAATCACACTTGATTATGACGCGACGGGTGGTGCTAGGTCAAGAAAAAGAAATATACAAGAAATGATAGAAAGTAAGAAGAGGTTGGATAGTACAAAGATAGAGATATAGACAAAAAGTATGGCCAGCTATATTTCGCCTCTTCAACCCAAACCTCTCCGGTTATAATAAATACACTTAAAATTGATGACAGTGATACACAGTACAGTACTGGTCAGTATTATTAATTAACATCTGAAGAAAACAGATACAAAATTGATGACAGTGATATAGCTCTATGATGTACTTTTGTACGTCTTATCATAATAAAAATAATAATAATAATAATCTTTTATAGATTTACATTTTATGTAAAACTATCAAATTATCTTATTTTTGTCTTTGAAAACAAGGAAATATTTTAAGGATAAACACGTGCACAATAATAGATTACTGTATATTAATATAACAAATTCTTTATTCTTTTAACTTGCATAAGCTAAATTTTAGCGTGTTGAAAGTGCATATGTATACTAAATCTATACTCATGTAGTATATCTTTAAGAACTACATGTACTTTAATTAATGAGATGTATGAACAAAGAAATGTACATCGGTCAAATGTAATTAAACAGCAAGTATATCTAACATGATTTTTTTTATCAGATCATCATTTTCCCAGCTGAGCTTTCCACCATCAAAAAAATTCATGTGATCTGGCGAACCAGTTGCTTGTAAGGTGGTCCAGGATCTTTCCTTGCCAAAATCAGGTGGTCTCGGACATACTTGTCGAAGCCTGCATGCTTGTGAAGCATATTTTTGATCGCACCTTAACTATAAAAGAAACTGGCATTTTCGTAACTATCATCTAAAATATGTAATATGAAAAGCATCAGGTAGTGAATCCCTCAACAGTAGGCCTATTCCACCCGAACCTATTTTTATAATTCGATGTATTTCTTATCTATTATTACGAGAAAAAAAAACGAAAACAAGAACAACAACACCAAAATCAATAAATAAATAAATAAATAAATACAACGTAATATATTATTAACATTCAGCATAAAGTAGTCTCTTAAGGGCATTCTGCAGTAGTTATAGCTATTTTTTTAGCTTACAGGTCTACTTTTTAAATGTTACTAAAATTGGCCAAGGATAATTTTTAATATAAAAAAAATGAATACTTTGTTGTTATAACTCCATTCAGTATCTTACGAGAAGATAAGCGCAGTAAGTACATCTGTCTTTGACACAGTCCACACATTTGATGTCACCAATTTCACTGGTAATTGTCAATTCAGTAAATGAATTACAGAAACAATTAAATTCCTCTGTCGCATACTAAAGGTGCAACCTGAAAAAAGTTTTGACGGCTTAATGAGACCTGACAATAATTTAGTTAAGAATAGTAAAAGTAATTAAGCACACGTTCATTCCACAATCTTTACTCAGTTGTGTGTATATCAATGTCCTGGATTCGAAATTGGGCTTTAAATGGCTGAATCAATTACCAGAGAGAAAATCATTTGTTGAAGAGAAATTTAAACAAAGTTGTTTTTAATGCTACGAGAGTGTTCATTCTTTTGTACCGGAAATACATTAAAATGTTACCAGACGGTTACAATGCACTTCTACTACTTATATTCTCCATTTTGTGTCTTCTTGTTTTTATCTAAATTTGATATATCTTATTGCAAATGTTTTTCTGTATCAATGTGACCCTAAGTTTATCGAGGACATGCATTAGTAACTTTTTGATCACTGTAGATTTATAACGTAAAAGTTTTTCGATCGCTCACATTTGCAAACAAATATATAGAGGATATTCAAGTTTTTTCTATAAATACATGATTTATTTTCATCGAGTGGTATGAAAATAAATATTTCATGAGTGGCGGTAGCCATGAGTGAAATATGGTAATTTTCATGCCACAAGATGAAAATAAATCATGTATTTATAGAAAAAACTTGAATTTTCTGTTTATTATGTACATTTAAATTCTCTTTTTTTCAATAAAATTTGAAAAACTTTCCCTTAAATTTTGTGTACTGGTAGAATTTAAAAGAAAGTAGTCCGGCAAGACACCAGTGAAAATACGGAAAATATGTTTCACTGCAGTGAAAAATAAATTTTTACAGTGAAAATACGGAAAATGAAAATACGCATTTTATTTCATCAATATTTCTCAATATTTCATTTATAAGTATATAATAAATTTGTATCCATCATCCGGCAACTCGCTCGAGTTTTATTATATACTATGTATTGAAAAATGTTTTACGGGGTGTCAAATAACTCAAGTTATCTTGAACGAAATTTATTTCTTTAATATTTGAAGCATGTGAGATAAAACTGAACGTCAGACATATAAGATTTTATGCTCATAATTTATGTCATTGGCCCCTTTTCTCCTTACTGTACAGAATGTTACCTGCGTCGGATTTTAGCTTAATACATGATTAAAGTCTTAGCTAATCAACTCAACTCAACTCAAATAATTTTATTGCATTAAACATACAATATATGTTCATGGCACATACAACATAACTATATAGGCAGAAGACATGGATTTTTCAAGGAGCACAAAAATACAATGTAAAACATATGAATTCATAATTGTGACGTTTTTGAGGTTCTGTAAAACTATTTTCTAATCAAATTTGCATAATATAAATATTTCGAAAGATCTGTTACAATTATTTTAGATTCAGACAATAATAAATGAGTAAATTTCTGCAATGTAGGCCATGTATAATAGTAGCGTCTGAGATATTTTTTGCGAAGGTCAGCATATTGTGAGCATGT